CTTTGCAAAAGACAAACTGATCCCGTAGAAACCGTACAAGATATTATGTTTCTTTTCGCTTTGCACAAGGGTATAATTTAATTGGGTTTGCTCTTTGCGAGAGCATGCACACAACCACTGCTGTAAAAATACAATGAAGAGAATGGCAAACTAAACAAGGCTTGAAGACATCTTGAGCATGCATCACTGGAGTCTATGGGTTCTGCTGTGATCAGACAAGTGTGAGTCATCGGACCAAGTTATTGAACAAAACATGATTATGTTGGCGAGAAAAAAATGTAGTGACATTGAATTGGGTACACATCTTGCATAGGGGCTGACGTGTGATGTGTTTGACATTATTGACTCAAAATTATTGCAAGTGAGAAAGTAAAAAGAAAGCCAGTATTGCATCGCACCGCGAAGAAACGTTGTTTAGTCTTACTGCATGTGTTTATGGAGACGACTGGAAATGATGTGCGGCAAAAAAAAAAAAAAATGAAGATCATCCGTTTTGTTGGTTATGTCATCATCAGGCCCCTATGTCACCATTTTGGCATGAGTTAATGTACACTGCTGGTAGTGTATTGGATGGAATGACATGCCACGGTATCTTTTTCCCGAGCCGCATACGTCTCCCGCGCGCACTCGCATCATTTCTGTTTCTTGTGGTGCATCGTCTCACCCTTGACTGACTGTATTCTTGAACAGTACTGTATGCACGTCTGTACGACATCCCGACTTCCCATTATGTTCAAATGCGCATTTGCTATACTCGGTGGCTCCGTTGAGGGCGTGATTGAATACAGACAGGCAGACAGGATCGAGGATCGGGCTAGGTAGGCCGTACCGTCCCGTCACCCAATTTCTGCGGATGTTCCCTCGGCGGACGGGAATAACATAGCTTTAATCGTGTCAATTCCATGCCGGAAGTTCCGTGCGCATGCACCATGTGCATGCTGACCCAGGGCCACTGGTTTACACAAAATCAATCCAATAAATTATGATCTCAGAGAAATTAGACGTCAAAGTGAAATTAATTATTAGTCAGGTCTAGGGCAGGGACCGCTTTAACGACTCGTGCCTACGTACGCATGGACCAGGCAGGGCGAGTCACTGAAATCAATCAGAGGTAATTTATCATGGGTTTGGCCGTAAGGCAAATCATTTGAGGAGTTTAAATTCAGACGAGAACTTAAGTTACTCGTGTTAAATTGGATAATTGCCATTTCCCCCCAAACATCTAGGGTTAACGTGCTCGGTGAATGAAATGGAAGCTTCTTGGTTTCTGAACGCCTCTAGTGTCTGTACACTGGTACATAATAAGAGCTGTTTACAGTCAGGAGTAAAGCAAGTAGTCGCAAATCGATAGTTTGTGGTGATGTGCACGCCAAGGCCTACTATTTTAAAGAACAAAAGTTAAGTCCGAATTCGCTAAGTTAAAAGTCAAAATCACTCAGCTCAGCAAGAAAAGAAAAACGCGTCATCTGGCTCTTGGTGGCGCTCGTTTGTTTCCATCAGTTTCTATTCGCGCCTATCCATAATATTTTAAACGGCAAGAAAAAAAGGAAACAAGAAAAAAAGAAGACACAAGAGGGCGCTATACAAGAATTCAACACACGGGCACTTGGCCAACGCAACTATCGTTTCCGACAGAAAATTAACCAACAGGTTCCTGTGGTTATTTTGTTGCATAAATAGTAACCATAAGAAAGACTCCATAACTGAAACCAAGTGGGATGCGAACATTTCCTTCTTTCTCATTTAAATTTAAAATTTTATTTTCAACATGCTCTATTTTGTAACGGTCTTACATGCTTTCTTGTGGCTTTAAATATCATGGCAAAACCATTCACTGCAATCTGCATGCAAACGTTCGATACATTCTGATTGCTTGTAAAAAAAATTTGGGTCCTTTTTAACAACTCGGTATATTCGCACTGGTCGCAAACTATATATAAAGATTCAGTTCCTTTAAACTTGCAGGCGCCATTGTGTCCTCGCGGATTAACATTAAGACGCTCCACCAAAACGCAGATTGCATCTTAATCTCTAACTTGTATGGATCCCGACCCCTTTTGGATAAAAACAAATTGAGGAAAAACCCATCTTCGCCCGATTCGGCCCTCTGGTGAAAAGACTACTTTGTTTAGTGTCATCTGACTAGGCTGCCTTAGTGCGTCTTCGTTTACGAAAGCTTTTTTTTTAGAGGATACTGGTAAAACTACACGCTAATGTTTGAGCATCGCGCGGCTGTTCAAACACAGAGGCCCATCGGCCGACCAAAGGTCCCCTTTTCTCATCCACCGAGAGAAATTCTGAAAAAGCTCCGTGCCATAATTTCTGTCCGACCGTACGTGATCTTAGATAGATATGCTGAGATAATTCGGTTGTGTGACACCCAACTGACGCTGCGTTTGACATAAAAATGAGGTTTGAGTATGAAAGTCAGATGCGGAGATACAATGTACATAATAAATATAATTTGATAAAACGTACACGACGAATCACAAAGGTTCAAGCGTGCCACCCTATTTCATTAGCACCGCCAAAAAAAATGGGTTTCCTTCGCTCTGGGATGCGGTTGGCATGGCAACGCCTGGCGTCACAATACTAGGTGTTTTTATTGATTTTGTGTGGCTCTCCCCCCCCCCCCTCCCCATATATATTATATCATTTTCCAAAGTGGCCGGGCTTATAGTGTGGCGAGGTTTTACCTCAGTGGCCCCGGGCGCTGTGGGTTGTGTGATCCTGCTATCTGATCGATTGGTACAGGAAACGGAGTACTAGGTATGAACCAGAATACGGGAGCAAGATGGAATAATGCTCCACTTCTAAAAGGCCGTACTCGGTTGCATGGATCGACACTAATTCGCTTCGTCATTTTGGAGCTGTACAACTGAACGCATTGCCAGAATTTCCCCTGAGTGTGGTGATGGATTTGAATGAGCCGGACTTTGACGTGCATGTTCAATTACGAGTATACGTTTCCTAATTTCCTTGACCTATAATTCAGTATTGGGGATGATTGAAATCGATTTCCTATATTCCATTTCCACTCTGATGCAGAAAACATGGGAGAATATTACTCAAAGTCTACTTGTCATGGTCATCTGGGTATCTCTTAAATGTCAGTCATGCTTTCGTTCACGCAAGTTGAGGACATGATGGCCCAATATCGAAATTTCACGATAAATATAAAATTGTATCCGCGAGTTAACTTACCATTATTCAGCCAAAGAAAAAAGTTATTTATGAAATGCAGGCACTAGGAAAATGAACGAACTCTATGCAATAACATAATCATATTTGGAAGCAAATACGTTGTCACCAATAAGTGATTTTCTCTGTTATGCGCATCAAAATAATGCCCGATATAACGTGCCAAACTTAAACCCCTTTCTGTTTCAATTTTCCGGTGTCCACAAAATTCAGCACGTAGGTGCACGTGGGTGAAGTACTTTTATGTGACCACTCATTTTACTGTGCATTATACATTATTCTGACATCGGCAACATCCCCAATCGCAGCGACCTACTTTTAAACAATGTGGCTCAAAACCATCCTTCTTATGATTCAACAAGCCATTATTGCCCCCGACATCGTGCGCGACCCCGTCGCAGGCGACTCGCCAGCGAGACTCGCGGGAGGCTGCGCCCCGTATAATCGGCTTGGTGTTGGAATCCCTATGGACTGCGGATCCGTCACAGTTTTACGGGGAAATACTACTGACGACAACAAAAATAAATGCCTGGGGAGAACCATCCTTTCCCCCCAAGAATGACGTGAAACCTCGCGTGAGGTTTAACCTGTGCAATACATGTGCCGTTTTGGCCAAGCTATAGTATCAGTGTTGAAATTGACAGACAAGATTATTTCGCAGTGCGCAAGCACATCACGTCTGACTTGCATTGTCGGGAATGCATGCACAACATCAATTTCACACGTGTTGTTTTGTGAAGCATCAGAATATTTCCCTGCTTCGATATTACAGTCCACTGTCCTCACAAAATGTCCGATTGTACCAGCTAATGGACCCTATACATCATGCGTTAATTTTCACAAAACCATCTCCATTAAACTATAATAGGCCAATCCATTGTCATTTGATAGTGAAAAGCACTTGATGGCTTCGGTAAATCAGCTTAATAGTCCATTTTGGAAATTGGAAGAGTCAGTCCATCGATATTTATGATCTAGAGGGAAATCAGTCAAAATAAAACATGTCTAGTTTAATTGTAAAAAAAATATCGTGTTTCTTCTTTTTCTTTTTTTAACCAGCAACAGGACTGATACATGATCCTCAACATAAACTTCACATCAGCATAAATCTACACTAACTTTAAATTCGTAGTAGATGTTATCAATCCCTCATATACCACTTAAAAATACAGTATTATAGTCGGGTACCCCTTTCCCATTTTGGTACAGATGAGTGCCCAGTCTCCCCTTTGGTAGTTGATATAGTATCTATACCTCATTAGTGTACATTAACAAGAGCTATAAAAGTGACAATTGAACCAGACACCAAATTATCATCATTCGTTTACAGAACCAAAAGCCATATGTCACACAAGAATAATAACTATACAAGGATGAATAAGAAGAATTACAGATAGACCTACTAGCGTTCGATGTCTATTTCAATACATCACTGTCCTTCAGGGAAATAATAGTTTCACTTCTTTATGCAATTCAGAACAACGCAACGACAATCACGTGTATGATCCTACACATTTTTTTATTTCGGAGGCAACTGAAGATAATTACTTCTATAATTACTAGACCATGGAGACGCGTACACGCCGCCGCGATATTACAAGGTTATACGTGTACAAACATAACGTGAAGCAAGTGTTGAAATTAACGGGTTGACAAATATCATAATTGACACGACAGTATCGAATATGGCATCACAATTTTGCTGAAAGCTTTACACACGTCATATAAACACGTGGTTTTGGTGAACATTTCGGTAGGACTACGCTATTTTCATTAAGAAATATTCATTTTGGACTCACCTGTAGCGTTTAGTGTTGCGACAATGGGGCGCCGAGCACCTTGTGTAATGGCGGGAAATATCGTCTGCTTCGCTCGAATCGTCTGCTCCGCTCGATTCGTCTGCTGTAGTCCTCGTCCTGCGGTCAAACCAAAACATACAGTACATACTCCTCATGTAACCCCAACACAACACTGAAATCTCGCTTCTGGGGGCTTGAGAAGTTTGTCTTCAAAATAATCATCTTGTTTTTCCACGGTGTTTGCATAATTATGTCGTTTTTGACAGATATTGATGGTAGGAATTGTGCGCTGTCGTGTGGTATAATGATGTCGGAGTTTGACGCTTTTATTGCATCTCGTCAGATCAGTCGCCCAGCACACAGGGTTTAGTCTTGTGTTTCACGTTCTTTGTATTAGCAGTATTAATTATGCTTATCTTTTATACTTTGTGTATCTATTATATAATCAAAATCATACTATTTCAATTCAACTTGGCCAATATTATTTCAAAGACAGGATATTTCTATATTGAATATGACAGTGTAACGTCTTTGCAATTGCCAGTTCAATATTAAGTACGGACGTTTCACTCGAAATACCAGGAAAATTTTTGAATACACACACTCTTTGAAATACTACTATTGTCTACTTACAGAATCTCCAGCTATAGCTATCCTCAGAGTATGTCAGACTGTAGCAATTCATCCAACCAAATGTCCCTGTTTGAGCATGCCGCTGCGAGCTTTGTTGATAAACAAAACAAATGTGCCGACACCAGACAGAAATGCAAGCAGCATCACTGAGCACCAAAGCACAACCAGTGGTGCACGTGAAGAGCGTCCCCAACGTCCATTCTATCTAGTTAATGTAGTCACACTTTAAGAAAAGCTCAGTCAAGAATCCACCGACCAATTCAATTTTCTCAATGCTGCATCATCAATATTTTACATGTCTGTGACCCAGTTACGTACAGTGTGAGACATGATCCCGGATTTTACTAATTATTTCCCAGAAGTTGTGGACACGATGTATTGGTTTCCGTTCCAGGCCAATTTGTACTTCCTCGTGTTCCGTTAAGTCCCGGTCATTTACATGTACAAAGTCACGAACAGTTTCATTTTAATCTACACGTCGTGCACGCAGGCGAGACAACTGCAGTAAAAAAATGTATAACATTTCCTCATCAAAACAGACGATTTTGAGCATTTTAAAGCCCACAAAAGACGAACAATTAAAGCTGGGACATCTGTGGTTCGTGCTCCGGATGATTAGTGTAAAACAGTGGACATCATCGCTGCTTCTTGTAAAATTACTCAAGTAATTTAACGAGTATCTATACAAACACAGGTCTAGTTACATATGAAATTAATTGTATCCTGTAACTTGCCATTATGTTTACAGTGACAAGAGAGGGTATGCAATATCAACACCCATTAAAGTGGTATAAAGAAAAAAACCTACAGAGTCAATATAAATATAAGAAATTATAAGGAACACACAGGCTTAAATAATTTTCAAGGCTTCTAAAGTTCTCTGTAAATTTACACAATTTAGTGAAAATCTTAGATCAGAACCCATTAGGCCATGCAGAAAAAGAACCACCAGTTGATCGTCCAGTGTTTTTTTCAAAAAGAGGATGAGGGCGTTTTTAATTTTATATTTTTTATTGAAAAATTGGCTAAAATAGCCATATTTAGCTTACATGATATGTGCCTTCAAAAAGAGGAGGCCCTTTATATTTGATAGTTCTGGGTAGTTGTCTACTAGTTGATGACCACAAAACCTTCTAAAAGTGCTTATTGAACATTAGTAAAGCTATTAGAAGCATCTGAACTTCAGAAACATCTTTAAAAAAATGTTATGCCTGAAATTTAAAAAATTAAAAAAACAAACTTGATGCAGCCTCAAAAAAGGAAGCGGGTCGGGGACGATCAAGTGTTTTTTTTTTACTTGGCCTTATATCAGGATAACATTTTCTGTTAAATTTATATATTTATAACATTTGAAATAAAAAAAATGACAATTTTCTAAAAGAAAGAAACTAGTCCAGCCAAAAATCTTGACAATTGTCAAGTTGTGTTCAATGTACATGAATTCCTAACTAATGAAATCTGTAGACAAAATATCTTTTAAAAATGTTCTCCCTCATAAAATCATCGAAAAAATAACATAAACTTATTTACGATGGAATTACATCAGCAATAGCCAGTTTCTCTTCCTCTTTCATACATCAACAAACGAATGCACCATTTTAATGACTGAATTTACATATAGGTAAGGGTACAATTTTGTTATGAATCAAGTTGTGTGTACCGACGCCATGTTATCATTGAGCGGGTACAATGCATAATGACCTGTCATGAATATTTAAGGTAGCAAAGTACCAGATACATCAGGGGGATTGTCCACTACAAGCAATACTGGCCAAGCTGTCGTGTAGTATAACTGCCCTATCACTCACAGGTGCAAGGCCACACCCCCTTTTAAAGGAGCTTTCCGTACTGCAGGAAATAATTGAAAAGTTGTCGAACCAAGTACTGCATTTTTAGCTACTGTGCAGTTACCATTAGGACATAAAATCGGGGCATTTTTTCTTCTTTAAGTTTCAGCTTCATTCCAGCTGTGGCTTCGGGAGATTTCAGCTCAGTTTATGTCCATGTACTGCTTTTGCAACATCAAATCTCACACTATGAGACCAAAGTTAAAACTTGAAGTGACAAAACAATAGCAATAATCAACAATTCAGCAACATTCAATGAACCCTCATCATCAAAATGTGTCTACTAAGTTCAAGGAAAGATTCACATTCACATGTTGATTTGTAAACATTTAAATAGCATTGCATTAAAGGCAACAACAAAACTGGGAAAGATTTCCATACCTGGACATCACTTGACACCCTGTGCACAAACCCTGTGAGACTGGTCTGAAAAATTCACAGTATTTTCTCAGTAAATGCTCCAATATTGTCTCTGACAAATTTGACTTTTAAGGACATGTTTAATGCTTTCTGATGGCTGATAGATCACTGCAGGGAAAAATTAGTGATGTCCATGTGTGGAATTTTTCCCAAAACTGAAAAAGAGGATATAAAAATCTAGCAAGTAGTATTCAGGAAAGTATTCTCAAATAAGGAATATCAAGATGGCAAAAGATAGCAGTTAGTCATTCTGATAATCATGATTATGATTGCATTGTTGCCACCAAGTGCGAAGACGTTGTTTTTATAACCAACGTCAGATTATAATTTCACGCCTGAAAACAAGCTTCCCTAACAAAAACCACTCCAAGCTACAAACAAGCGCCCTTCGCAAATAAATGTAAAGTCTCACATTTTTTTTTGTACCGTGTGCCTGGTTGCCATGGATATTCATCCCGGGCTCGAGGCAGTCTATGCACTGTGCCATTTCACGTCGTAGGTCGGGCGGCCGCGACTACGCCGTTGTCTCTAGGGACGCGGCGATCTGCAAGAGAGCTAATAATCCGTGCCCGGTCTTGTAAAAAGAAAACACTGGAAATCCTAAGTAACTGTAATTACGGTGTCGGATTTTGCTGTTGGTTAGGGCTGCATGATAGGGTTTGAAATCTGGGGTCAATTTCAGGAAGCCGTTAAGCAGAGAAATTTGCGTCGTTCCATACATTCGGGTACCATTTTTTTTGTGTCCCTGTTACATCTGACATGTTTAAGATCTTGTTATTCTGGACACATTCTTTAATGCCTTCTATCTTCAAGAGTGATTATGTAAAGCATAGAACCTACCAAACAAATGAAAAAACAAGTAGTGTGAAGTCATTATGGAATGACCCATTTGCTAAGTGCAGACAGTATTTGCTCAGCGAGAACAGTATACCAGCCAAAATGTTACAAAATGTGTATTGCTTTTGACTGGTTCCCTGTTGATTTTTTACTTACTACATGAATATGTTAAGCACTCTTTGTCTGCTTGACAGCCTCCATAGAATTGCAATTGCAAACTGTATATGCATTTATTGTTAAAACTCTGGAACCCTGTTTGTGGTTTGGCATAAATTCTAAGTAAAATAAACCATGGATTTGGAAAGATAAAATGTGTTTACTCAGTAAAATTGACACTTTTCCTTTGGTCATGATTGCGAAAAACATGACTGGATAGAACTGAAACACATCAAAGTTTTGGGAAAAAAAGGTTTCTTTTCAAATGAATACTAAGAATTTCACACAACCCAAATGAGGTTCGCTAAAATGAAAATGCCTGAAAAGTGGATGACTATTTCTTTAGATGTGCAAAATATTATCTTGTTATCATTCAACGCATATGGACAATTTCCACATAGGCTCAATGTCCTGGAAAAGTGGTAATTATAGAAACTGAGAAGATAAAAACAACAAATATAATTCCGTTCTAATCGGAAATGGCGTTTATCTCTTGTAATGTGAATATTTCAGATCAGTGACCTTCAGTTGAGTTGAAACAGATAAGTCCTTTTTTTAATTAAAACAAAAATGCCTGTAAAACTTCGCATCTGGTCAATATCAATATATTTTCAAGGGGTAAGCAGTATATTAGAGGAAGTATTAAACAAATTTTGTCATTTGAATTAAAGGTAGCAGGGACAGACTAGCCAAAATAGGAAACGCATTTCTTTGAACCACAAGACCTTCAACTGTCATATTACAGGAAATGAAATTGTAAGGGAAGTTGAAATGCAATATGAAACCAATGTGCACACGAGAATTGTCCTACTTACATTACAGATTAGATATGTTCTTAGTCCTTAAAACTAATCTTTTGCCGATTGGATTTCCAACTTTTTGCTAGATACTATTGAACAGTAATACTGCATCCGTCATATGAGGACTTGTTGGGGAAGGTATCAAAAAAAATTCAGCAATTAACATGATATTTCGGGAAAGGTATTAAAGAGAGACTTTGAAGTAATGATTAAAACTGCTATTTGAACTTACCTCAAACAGTGCTGTACACATCTGGGCGTGGCATGGAATCTTTGGGCGTGGTATGGGATCTTTGGGCGTGGCATGGGATCTTTGGGCGTGGCTTGAGTCTCGTGCAAGATGTTACATATCCAAATCGCTGAAGCAGTTGAAAATCCTCGTGAAGATGGACGCATACTACAAGAGGACAAGCGATGAGGTTTGACCGGATATAACAGATCCATTGGTCAAGTTGGATTAAGAGATTAACTGTGGGCGTGGTTCAGTGTGACCGGATATAACAGATCCATTGGTCAAGTTGGATTAAGGGATGAACTGTGGGCGTGGTTCAGTGTGACCGGATATAACAGATCCATTGGTCAAGTTGGATTAAAAGATTACGTTGGAAGGATTGAATGTGACCGGATAAAGCAGATCCATTGGTCAAGTTGGATTAACAGATTAACTGTGGGCGTGGCGGGTTGTGACCGGATATAACAGATCCATGTCAAATGGTTAGGAACACATGTGGACGGACAATCAGCTGGCAATCTTGATCTTGAACAATGCAGAGAGTAGACTCGACACCAGTCCTTCATCTTCAAGGAGAAATATCTAAGTGAATAGATATTTCATCAGATGTTCTCAAGCTCAGCAGACATGAAGACTAATCTCTTTTGTGAAATTTTTTTTTTTTTTTTTTTGGTTTTCATTTCTGAACTTTCAGAAAGTTTTTTTTTCTTTCTTTTCTTGATCAAACTCAATCTGGCCACAATCATTTCAAACTTGCTGCTTCTCTATTTTTTGTTCTTTTTTTTCTATTATTTTTTCTTTTCAAAATGTGACCAGTTTTATTTTTTTCTGATCTTTCTTTTCTTTTCTTTTTTCTCTTATCTTATTTTTTCTTTCTATCTTTTAATCTTTTCTTTTCTTTTAACTTCATTAAATATACAATCGCAAACAATGTATTACAATGTTTACTTATAAGAGTACAAAGATCTAACAATGTGGAGTAAACAGGTTGCATTTTTTTTTAATAAGCACTAAGATCTAATCTTAACAATATTACATAAATTGTGTAATGTTTGTTGAAACTGACATTGTGAGTTTCTTTGTTTTAAATAAGGAAAGGATAGTGTTTTTTTTTGTAAACAATCATTCTCAACACAGTGAAACGTAAAGTACAGGCATGCAACTGGGAATTTAGAGAAAACGAGGACATTACAAACCACACAAGACTTTGTACAGTGTTTTTCAATTTGTTATGGCATTCATGAGAAGTAGAAAACAAGGAAATCTGAGATCCGAGGAAAAGTTGCATGCCTGAAAGTAAACCAAATTTTCAAGATTGCCTCTCCTTTAATGCAAATTTTTCAGCTATGCAATCACAAATATAGGATTTTTCAGCCCTTGCCACAACATCAACTGCAGTTTGTATTTATTTTTGGTTGCTTAAATATGTCAGTTTGTACAAACAAACACAAATTACTTTACATGAAACTATACACAGTAACAGGTTCAAAATAGTTGATAAAATGCACACTCAAATACCTCACTTATTTCCTTAAAAGATACTACCCCTCCTTGAATGGGACACATGTTGAAATAAATTAATCCAGCACAGAATTCACTAAAACTTTGTACGCTTGCAATCTTTGTGTTCAGACACTGGAGAACCGATCATCTAATGTCCATAAATCAGTCAACATTGCCAAACAAACTAATCCTTCCTTATGGGTCTTATACCAGATGTAACAGCACCCTCTTTGTCACAGCTTTCTAAAAAATACATCCGAAATTTTGATACATTTTTTAAAAGTATAGTTCGTTAGCTTTTCAGCAACAAAAAATCTTTCCAACCAGGAAAATCTTTATCGAGTTACAGCCAATTAAAAAAAGTGTCGCTTTTTCATTTTGTCTGCCATCTTTTGTCTGTCATTTATAAGGAATGTAATGGATTTGAGGAGAGGGTAGTTTTGTTTCTTTAATTTTGAAATGTTTCTTTCTTTATTTGGTTCTTTTCTACTTTTTTTTGGCAACAGAAGACATGGTAGTCTTGAAAAGGACTGTTTTATGTAACTTCTTAGATGTTTACTGTTCTGCTCTGCCTGCTACTAATGGCTGCCTCTTTCATAGATGCAAGATTCGGACCTTATTCTCACTGCCGCAGTGAAACAGACACCGTGGACAAAATGAAAAAGCAGCATATTTGTTAATAATTAGCCACAACTCAACAAGTCTTGAACCGATTGAAATTACGTTTTCAGTATATTGAAGCTAACAAATTAAGGTTTATGGACAAATCAAAATATATTTGACTTATGTTTTATAAAGCTTTGAAAAAGAGGGCACTTTTAAGGGTTCGTATTTTTTTTGAGGGAGGGGGGCACCCTGTAGGAAGGCAAGTACTTGAAAAAGAGAAGTTCACATTTAAACATAAAAATGATGATTTTTTTGCATGGGCTTCACCAAACATGTAGAGAATGCATCTGCAGCATGTGTACATACCGTGCTACACAAACTCTCCCTGGGAAATGTTGAAAATAGGAACTAAAGATAAATATCTATTTTCGTTGAATAAATATTATTCACAGGCACTTCTAATGATGCCGTGCTTCCACTCTGAGCAATGCCTCATTCTTCACAAAAATCAACCAAACACTGACAGAGATGCAAACAGATGATTCCTGGGCATCGCAACACAAAGAATCATCCGTCATTTGCACAAATTCCACCAGTTACTCCTTCCAAATTTTTTGGTTCAAGATATGTACACTTGCAACAGATTTCATAATCGGCAAATCTGTTCTCATTATTTCAACCTGTATTTCAAACTCAAATTATTAAAACTTATGAATTAAGGACCACAAGCTGAACGATAAATGGCAACTTTTTCCACGGTAATTGATGTTAAAACAAAAATTTGTGAAACATCTTTTTTACTGACATGAAAAAATGTATCATTCTTTTCCGTATTCCATATTCTGTGACAGGAATAGGGAAAAAAGTCAAATTTAACCAACCAATCATACTCTTACTAACAGAATTTAAGATTTAATAAAAAATAAGAAATTCTCGGGACACTTGCCAAGTTGGTATTGAAATGCTTACAAATTCTAAAACAGATTTTTTTCCTGTAGGAAAATCATGCGACTGACTTAAAACATAATACGTTCACATTGGGGAATTCTTTCGATTTAACCTATCCAATCATTGGATGAGAACGATAGGATTTCCAAAATTTTAGGGTACTACTTGAAGCAAAAATACCAACTTTGCAAGCGAACCCACCACAAAAAAAACTTATAAACAAAAGGACAATGGTGGGGCAGATGTTAGGGCACTTATCACAATGTCAGAGTCCAATGGCACCAGCACACAGATTTACTCAGCAAATTACTTTTCTTTGCCAAAAATGGATTCCGGGCACTGATCTCCATATAAAGACTGGATAGCGTATGTCCATACGCGGTACATTTACTAATTTTCACTTTTTTAACTAGTTCCCTCTGGTCTTCCAAAAATGGCCGCCGATATAACGTTCTGCTCATACATACTATAGATAAGACACAACGCACACTGTATAAAGAATTGGCGTGTATTTTGTGCACGTACACGGATTATGATGTTCTACAAAGGACGTCGTGATTATATTTCCAAACGTCGCAACAATTGAACTGCGACACTCAAAAAGTGAACCACAATGTTTGAAAAAACTGTGAAGGTAAACAAGGTGAACCATGATGTTACAAAAGTGAATCTCAACCGCCTATAAAGACGGCAACTTGTCCTTTATAGAACATCAACCAAGGTCTTTCCAATATGGCTTCATGGCTTTTTTCTGCGGTTCTCTATATGCTATCCAGTCTTTATATAGAGATCAGTGATTCCGAGCCATATTGGCAGGTGATCAGCTGCAAACTGGTAAGCAACCACACTTTCTGCTAAGTCGTTCTCTGAATATACACTGACTGTGGTGCTTCGGCAAAATAGACTGTAAATTGGATTTAGTCATTTATGTTTATTTTATCAAAAGTCTAAGAGACTCATATCTGCAAGAAATAAATAGGCTGGTACCACAATCTGTATTCATGGAAGCAGCATCTTAACAACGTTTTTCATTTTTGTCTTCAGGAAACCAGACCAAAATGGCTGATATGTACCAAGGTCTCCCGTGTTTTCACATGTTGCGCAAATCAATCCACACATGCAGTTGTGAGAAGTGCCCTTAATACTGCCCCCTACAAAACTACATAGATATGTCTTATCTATTGGTAATACGGAGACACTGAAACGGGTGTGGCAGATGGGCGTGGCACATAGGCGCAGCTTCATCGACGCCATCCTCGGCTCTCCGCATCCTCATCATCTTCTTCATCGTCCTCCAGGAGGAGATCATCATCGTTAATGTCATCCAAGTCCTGTCGGTAAAAACGTCATGAGGTCACATTAACACATTAAACAGGGCCGATCTTACTCTACATTGGCTGACTCCAGGCATTAAAATAACCAATATGAATATTCATCACATGCAGATGTGATTGACCTCATTTTGTCCAATCAGCTGTCCAACACAAGGCCTCTGAATTCATGTTTCTACCTAATACCTTTTCTGCACTGGCCAACTCCAATATATTAGGTGTCTCATTAACCCTTATAAATATTCATGGCATGCACAATTGACTGATCTGATTAACGTAAATGAATATTCATGAAATGTTAGTTTGACCGACCTCGTCATCTTCCAATTCGCCGCCCACTTCAATGACGTCCTCTTCCAAGTCGGGCTGCTCTGCCTCCCCAGCCAGGGGGTTCTGTCGTGGGGTGTGCCACACCATGTGTAGCTGCTTGCCCTTGAACATACCTCCTTTCTTCACAGCCTTTGGGATCAATTGATTGAGATGGTTCAGTAATGAGATTACCGGTGCTGATTTTAAGGCACCGCTAGGCTTGGAATAGTGCAAAGCGCGACAAAAATTGCTCGGCAAAAACAATAACTTTGCTTACTGTTAGCAAGAAGGCCCACCAGTTATAGCAAAAAATTCAATAATGAGCAGATTTTGTTGGATTTTCAGAAATTTTAGTTTGTGCACAAGCGTGCATCTCATAAATACGGATTTCTGTGCTGCCACTTTAAACCTAACCCTGCCAGACGAAACACAGTGCATCGGGTGTAAAAGGCCGTGGGACCTTGCTGCATTGAGCCATCAACACCTGTGTAAAGATGGCCAATTCTGAAACAATGAGAGCTAGTCCCATTAAACAATGCCACAGTTGTATCCTGCTGCAGTTGGTGACCACAGACTCTGAAGCAGTTTGGCCTTGAGATTTTGGACCTGATGGATCTTGCTGCACTGGGCAAGCTTGTCATTTTGACAAGTGTTGCATGTAGCTGTGCTTAGCAGGGTTTCTAGCCAAAATACCCTTGAGGGTTAGGGTTAAGCAAGGAACGTTAATCACAAAGCAGAATTCCGCTGTACGCAAAGTTATAAAATTGGGTTTGGAATTGGCCAAAGATCCCCGAAGTTTGTTCCTTGTAAACAGCGATTTCAAAAGAACAAGTCTGTTACCGGTTCATGAAATACTTACAAATTCTGCCTCTTTTCTTGTCTTGAAGCCAATAACGTATGAGTGTGCGGTTTCATCATAGTCAACATTCTCAATCTCACCAAGGTCCTGCAAATGTAGTACAAATATACATCAGTTTCAGTAGGGCTTTAGCTTGTCCAGAAGAAGCTTCAATTTTTCAGTTGTTGTACAATGAATGAAAGATCAGCTCGGCTATGACTGCATTGATGCTGTCAAGCAATATTACAGACCATCCGGCATTCAAGCAGACCAAGGAAAAAAAGTAGAACAGTAGGACCAAAAAAACCCCAAGGAGGACAAAATCAGAATAAAAGTAGGACTTTTGCGGCCTTTCAGGAGTAGTTTTCGTTGATACTCATCCATGTTCACAGCATCATAAGCCTCATTTGGCATGTTCTGTACTCACAACACTTGTGCTCCATCCTCAACTAAGCTCTTGGAAGTACAGTTGCAGTACTCCTGTGCCCAAGCCTTTCATTGTGTGATTTTCATACGACAGTGTGTAACACTGTTATGAAAAATATTCAATGAGATTTCATTTTTCGGAGTTGTGTGACAAAAAAGTAGGAAAAAGTAGGAAAACAGTAGGAAAAGAAGGAGCAAGCTAAAAAAAACTAGGCAAAAAGTATGAAAAGTAGAAATATACGTGAAAGCCTGCCATATGAATTCAATTCTATAAATTCAATATCGCTCAAAATGGAGATTCTTAAAATAAATCGTAGACACAAAATACAACACCGATGTAGAAATACCACAGAATCGCAACTAGATGCTTCTGCAACTATTAAACTTTCAAATGACATTGAACTGGCTTTAGCTTCTCAAAATGTGGGCTTGGGAAACCAAATTCTTTATACTCACACTAAAGTGTGTCAGGGCTTCATCCTTATCCTCTGGATCAAACCCACTGATGCCTAGCATCCGAGGCCGCTTGTCAATGGTAGTGGTGGAGTGGCTGAGGCGTCGGGCCCGACCCCGCCCTCGACCGCGCCCACGGGCACTGCCTCTGGCTGCTGCCTGAGCCTGTAACAACCAAGAAAATAAAAATGTCTCCTGAATTGTTCTCTTTTTTTTTTAGAGGGTTGGGTTTTACTCACACTTGTGCAAAAACATAACGAAAGCAACGTTTACATGTATTTGAATATTTGACATCTTTTTAAACAAGAAGCTACAAAAAAACAAAGATGAGAACTTTCTTGTGGTCGTTCTTCATATTTCCTTACCTAAATTAACTTAAAGTTACCGAGACTGGACATAGGAACTGAATACAGCTGTCAATTTTTGTACCCTACCACTGTTCAATTAATATTAAAATTCTGTTAAATATGTTCATCAAAGCAGATTGTATTCAAAGGATTTTGAAGTATTAAAATTAGTTAATTCCATGTAGTAATGCCAAATCTGAAGGTTTTTAACTGCAAAGACTACAAGCATATATCAAACATTGTTTTAAATTGAACTTAGTAATTTCCCTTTTGCCTTTAATTTGATGATCAAAAGTAACTCATTGATGTTTGGGGAAGTGTGAAGAATTGTGCCTCACGTTCATGTAGCTGAGTGATGCATTGCGTGTACTGATCTCTTTCTTGAGTTGGGCGACCCGCTTGTAGAGTTCAGAAGCGTCCCCTCCGTCGCACTGCTGGTTGTACAACTCCAGCTCCGTGTCTAGCAGCTCCTTCTGAACCTAAGTCGAACATCAGGGAAAATGTAGATGGGTCTTTCAATCATTTGTAACACTTTTGTAGTTGAGGTGCTTGTGAAGGACCACAAGTCAATCACAAGTCAATGACTAGTCATTCACAAGTCAATCACTAATCAATCACAAGTCAATCACAAGTCAATCACAAGTCAATCACAAGTCATCACGAGTCAATCACAAGTCAATCACAAGTCAATCACAAGTCAATCACTAATCAATCACAAGTCAATCACAAGTCAATCACAAGTCATCACCAGTCAATCACAAGTAAATCACAAGTCAATCACTAATCAATCACAAGTCCATCACAAGTCAATCACAAGTCAATCACAAGTCAATCACAAGTCAATCACAAGTCATCACAAGTCAATCACAAGTCAATCACAAGTCAATCACAAGTCATTCAATCCCAAATCAACTCACAAGCTATGAGCTGCGGCAAATGCATTTCTTGGTTACTGTTCATCTCCTGTTACTTGTGACTGGACTTGTGAGATGACTCAGGATTTACTTTTGACCAGACTTGTGTTGTTTTTTGTGATCCATCACAAGTATTTTAAAGGTACAGTATATCATTTGCAGCTATCCAAAAAGTAACTGACAAAATTATTGTTGAATGCATACTTGGTTTAAAGTAATGGCACTAAACTCCCTGTGAAATTATTCTTTTTGGCATGCTGTCATTTTGAAGAAAACAATAAAAGAAGGTCATTTCCAAAGATGCATCTAACGACTCATTTTTGGAGAATTCCGTTTGTAATTTGTTTTTAATTGGAGGAAGCCGTGAATGGGCGCTTGCAAGCATTGACAAGACGCACACGCAGCGCCGTTGTTATAATTGGTCGGTTCAGTGTGTGACATCGCGTAGCTGCAATCGGCTGAATGAGAGCGTGTCTCTTTTGAATTGAAATTGAGATCCAAGAATATTTTTTTCTCGGAATATACAGCATTCACTGAGCTAAAACTTCATCAGGTTAGTTATTAAGCACCCTTCTTTAGATTTTGAGCACTTTTGTTGCTCCCAAAAGAAATGCACAAATGACAAATGATATGCTCTACCTTTAACAACAAAATCTTGCAAAAGGTCAACACCATGATCTACTAAAAAGGAGAAAATTTCGGTTTTCGCTAAAAGCTTTGTGACTGAAGTTCTCAATTTTATTCTTGATACTTGTCCATCCTCAGGAGAGTGCTTCTAATGTAAAGCTAGCACATGAAACAACCGGAGCAACACTTACTTCTGTCTTGGATTTGCTAGGAGGCTTGACTTCCAGTTCTTTCTTGGTCTTGTCCATCTGCTCGGAGAGTTTCTTGATGAAGCCTAGGATCTCAGCGCGTTTCTCTGACGACAAGCTCTTGTCTTCAAGTTTGGTGAGAAAGGACTACCAAGCAAAACAAATTCAATGTATGATAATATGGTGCTCTCGAAGAAAACAGAAACTTGAAGTGACCTAAACAAAACAAGTTAGCTGCACGTCACAAGAGTCAGATTTTCATGAACATAAAATGCAAAAGGGGTGAATGTAAATGACTTGCATCACATTTTTATGCCTTTACCATCAAATGAAGGTAGAATATTTGATATCATGATAAGCCCAAAACCAGCGGGAAAGCTGCTAAGTGTGCAGAATTGACAGCATGTTGTGTGTTTGTGGATGTGGCCTCATTGTACAGTATTCATCTACATGGAGAATGCAGAATGTGAACAGCAAAGGATATAATCATCGGCCATTTTTCAAAAATCTGACTGATTCTTTACCTGACATGAATAATTAATTTACACAACAGTCCCCGTTGCTCATCTTTTGGCTTGTACCCAACACCCTTTCATTGGGTGCCTGACGATTGGCACCTCTTTACTCATTGGGCTGTGAGCAGTTATGGTAAAGTGTCTTGCCCAAGAACACAAGCCTACCTTCTGTTGTTGGATCAGCTTGACCAGCAACTCCTGCTTCTGTTTCCCGATCTCAATCTGTTTCTTCTGGGCCAGCTTGCGTTGCTCGTCATGCTTCTTGCGCACGGCCTCCTGGGCCGCTGCCACCTTCCTGGCGGCCAGTAGCGAGGCCTGAGGCGTCGCAGCACCGGCCGTGGACTTCAGGGCCGCGGGGTTAAACACGGTCTTGGTAAGGGTGGCTCCGGAGCTTTTGACAACAACCTGTTGGGGTTGGGGTCAGATAAATGTTTTTTAACGTGCCTATTTCAATTTTATGCTAATCTTTGATATTGGGTTTAACCCATTATGATACCCAGCAAGATCAGTGGTCAAGCGGCTTCAGTGTCTGAACTATAGAGTAGGGCATCCTGGCTTCCAGTCCAAGCTGCTTTTTTAACGTGCTCTTCGAAAGTACTGAGCCAAGTTCTTGATGACAAAACAAAACCATTTATTGTCAATAATGTAAAGTTAATGTACACACCGTCAACAAGTAAGCCCCAAAGCTTGTCCAACATTCATCACAGTTCTTGCATGATCTTGCTCTTGTCTGCCTTTACACAAGCTGTTTTCAGCCAAGGCGTGACACCTTGGAAGAGTGCCATTTGTTTTTTTTCAAAGCACTCTTCCAAAGCTTGCACTTGCGATGAAAGTTTGTGCTAACTCTGCCACATTGTTGTTTAATTGGTAAAGAACGCTCTAGAGATATATCTTACCCTTTCTGAGGTTTCTGGGGGCTTCTTGACAAAGGTCAGCTGCTCTTTGGTTGGGATTCCTAGCCTGTCTTTGACTGAGACTTTGCTTGCTCCATGGCCTGCATTTTGAGATGATGTATCACCATCCTAAAAAAACAGGGCAAAGGAGGAGAGGTAATAAAAGAGACCTTATATCGTTGGTTATGGAAATGAATTACATTCATCAGATGCAGACGCTGTTTCTGACACGGTCAGCTATTGGCAAAGAGCATGTTGGATTGTGAAAGATGTGGCAGGTTTTTTTTTTTAGAGAGAGTCTGAAGGAGGGATTTTGACAATGAAGAAGTTCTCTCAGAGATTTGACAAGATTTTGATGTTACAGACCTCGTTGTGCCAGAACACCTTGATGAAGCGGTTATTCAGGACGGCCTCGATGGAGTTGTGTGCTGCCCTCGCTTGGAGATGGGTGGCGTAGGTGATGAGGGCTGCGTCCGGCTGGCCACCGTAAGCAACCTGTGGGAGTTATTGAAAGGCGATAGGTAGAGGGGAGGATTATTATGAAACGTAAGGCTTCTTAAATGGAACTACACTACAACACGCAAAGAAATGAGTAAATTAAACATTCAGGAAGGAAATTTGGCGAAAGAAATTAGATAAAATTTGAAGGGTTTGCATAGTGAAGATAGCAATAAGATAAAGTTCCCAGTTGCAACAAATCTCCTTTTTGAGTTTGTGAGGTTCTGAAAAGAACCAGGGAAACTGAACTTTTCAGAAAGTATACTCTGCTTCTCAAAATCGATTGCGAATATTCTCTTAAATAAACCTCAATATATTTTGGGAACGCATGTTTGCTGACTTTGCGGTATTATAATAAGACGTCCAAATGTTATGAACTATTCAGTAGGACCATTAACATAAAGGCTTGACAACGCATGGATGAGTAGCCTCACGAAGTTCGTGAACTGGCTTGCTCTTAGCAACGGCCAGATAATATTTGGGAACCTTCGCGAAGTCTTTATTGAAGGCATCCCTTACCGAAGTAAATTTCGCGCTGCTCAAAGCTGCCATGGAGGTTGTTGACAACAGTGCGCGTATACCCTGCTGGCTGCTGCGCGCTGTGTCGGTGTGCCAAAGGTACTGCGCGCTACGCTCCGTTGACTGGTTGACAACAGTGAGTTTCTATGCTCTTGATTGTGCGGGAACCAGCGAAATTTGTTAAAATGCCCGGATGAGGACAATTTCAAAAATAATATTGTCCTCATTCCGGTACTTTTACTGATATAATATTGCAGTCGTCAGGGTACTTTTTACAAAAGCATACAATACGCTGATTTATTCTTTACCACTGGAAGCCTGATATAAATAATAATTGTGAAAATTCCTCAATCCAGTGGATATTGAGGTATGTTGGAGTGTAAGATTGAAGTGACCCAGGACAGGATATTCATCCATTAATGTTCATCCCCCGTTACATTTGACTATGTGATTGGCAAGTGGTCTGACTCTCAATGGACTTGATTACAATCCTTGTTTATGGGTGCCGTACCTGCAAGTTGGTGATGACGCCAAACTTCTGGAAGTGCTCGTTCAGCTTGGCGATGCTATTAAACTCCCGTGGGATCTTCTTGATCTCCAGCGTCCGGCTGTTAGGGGTGACCTTGGCCTTGGGCCTCCAACCCCCACCGCCGCTACTGATGACTTTCCTGGTTGAATCCGGTGTCATCATCTTACTCGGCGAGGCGCCGGAGGATACCGAAGTTGTCGCTGCCCCGCTGCTGTCTTCGCTCTCCTGGGACGTGTCTGGCTCGTGCGGTCTCTTGAGTCCGGCGGCGCTGGCCGCAACGACTGTCCTGGAGTCCGAGGCTTGCTGCTGATTGTCCGTTGACTCGGGTGACTCGATGACGACGGTCCTGTTACTCGCTACGTCCAGTTTCTGAGTTTCAGCATCTAACTCTTCGATATCTGATGCAGTAACAAAACAGTATTGCAGTCAATAAAACTATTATGCAATATACATACTAGTATATGCTCACGTTGACAAAACATAGCGAAGTATTTTCCTGGGAAAGATTTGAAAGAATAGAGTTGTCTTAAAATGGCTCAAGATTTAGGCTTCATAATTAGAAAAAAAGAGACCTGATTATGTAATTAAGAGCTGACATAATTTGCGCAATAAGCACATAAGAGCAACTTATCTAGATTCACATTGAGAAAAACTCATTTGTTAGACAAGTTTAATTGAGGTAAGTCTAATCAATTGACTGTAGGGTCTAGGGTGAACGAACATGCAAAACTTCTGTTAACAAAAAAAAACTCAACATTTTCCACATATGGCTGAAGTTCAGCCCAAAACCCCAAACCCCTGTCACATTAAAAGCCCAAACCCCAGTCATATTACCAACCAAAAGACATCACGGCTTGAAACCTGAGAAAAGAGAAGGTTAGAAACTGCACAGCAGAAATCTAGTCACCTTTAGGATCGGCAAGGGGAACCGTCTGGACTCCGATGAGCGATCTCAAGTTGGCTGACTGGTTACGCATGGAACGAGGAGGGGCGTAGTAAGGCTTGGCATCTATGGAAGGGTCCTCTGGGTTATAGGCATCAGGCTGATGTGGGGAATCTATCAGTGGATGGACAGGAAGAGAAATTAAGTATAGTGTAGAATACCCCACTTCTTGATATCACCTACCACATGTTGTGTAAGCTTTGCCCTCTTTATCTAAAATGGTATGTTGTGGCCTCATGGTCTGGTGCATTGAGCTCATGATCTTGTAGGTTATTTTGCAGGTTGCGGGTTCGAGTCCAGCCTGGGGTTGGGGTGTGCGTGTCGTTGTGCAAGACACTTTGTTACTCCTAACCTTCCCAAATCCTTTAAAATCCTCTTTGCAAAACCAAGGATTTTGCAGGATTGAGGCTACATGGCAAAATGTGTGGCTGATTTTGGAGGATGCACTGTGTCAAGGACTTGGGCCGGACCTTGTGTTGTTTATGTTCAGCCGTGCAAAAATTTAGGCCTAGATTATCCTCCACACTGCTCTAGTTTGTCACTGGCTCTGCCTCAGCATATTGACAGTGGTTGCTGGAGGCTTTTGCAGGATTGAGGCAGTGGCTACCCCTCCAAGGACCACATTCAAGAAATGACGGAGGATTTTGCAGGATTGAGGCTGTATGCCAATTTTACATGGAGGCAGTTGGAGCATTTTTAAGAATTGTGGTTACATCCTAAAAATGCCTAGGGAGTTACGGTTAATCATTGGTTCCCTGACAATATTTTGGGCCCCTGTTTAGTTTTTGCAATGGGGACACAGTGTTGACCTACCTGATGTGTTTCGTCCCTTGGGCATGTCCATTCTTGGCGGACGTTGCTGGAATGTTGGAGGTGGTAGGTTGGGCCGTGGAAGCAGGTGCCTTGGTGGCCCTGGGTTGAAAAGTACAACAAATTGAAACTGACAGTGTTTGGACAAACACGACAAACAGTAAACATCTGTAATTTTAACTGTACTTTCATTGAAAACAATCACCATCCCCGAACCCCCCCCCCCCCCTCCCACACAAAAACCATCTCCAAGGGTATATCCAAAGGCTTACCTTGACGTAGTGGGGGACCGATGAGGCGATTGGGACGGATGCCTTGGGGAGGACGTAGTGGCCTTAGTTCATTGTGACCTGGGCCTGGGAGAAAAGAGGAATTCAGAAAATTAAACTTTCAATTGATGTAAACTTTCAACTGATGGAGGATTTCAAAAAGCTATCAGTTAATTTCAAATCAGACATTGAATTAAGATGCAAACCAGAGGGGTATAGCCTTTTGTGGACACAGTATACATGAAGGATAAAAGTTGGGATTAAGAAACCAAAGTGAATATGTAGTCGAATCCCGTTAGTACAAACTCTGTTAATACAAAATTCTGGTTATAACAAACATAAAGCCTTAGTCCTGACTGCGCATTTATGTGCACAATGAATGGGACTGATGTTCCTCTTAATACAAAATTCTGATATAACAAACAACTTGGCTAGGTCCGAACGAGTTTGTATTAACGAGACTCGACTGTAGTTACCTGGTGGACCTCGTGGGGGCATAGGCCCTCGCATGCCCATGTGAGGGGGCGGTAGCTGCGGTGGTGGCCGAGACATGGGTGGCGCTTGCCCAGGGTGCATGGGTGGCATACCCCCACCCATGGGTGGTGGTGGACGTCCTCCCATGGGTGGCGGCGGTCCCCCACCCATGGGTGGCGGTGGTCCCCCACCCATGGGTGGTGGCGGACCCCCACCCATGGGTGGTGGTGGCCCCCCACCCATGGGTGGTGGTGGTCCCCCTAGCATGGGAGGGCCCCCGGGGAAGGGTCCACCTTGGGAGTGTGGAGGGGGCAACATGGGTCCCCTCGGAGGTAACGTCATCCCCGGCGGTGGTGGACCGAGACGCTGGTTGGGTGGGAAGGGATTGCCAAACTGTCCCCCAGGGGGCGGTCCGAGGGGTGGCATTCCCCCAGGTGCCTGGTGGGGAGGCACCTGGGTGTTGATCTGTGGGGGTGGGGGCTGGGACGGAGGGGGCTGGGGAGGTAAGGGGGGAGTCCGCTTGTTTAGCATGTTGACGTCCTCCACTATCACCGGGTCGTTGCCGTGGTCGAAGGGGCAGAATTCCCCCCGCATGCAGAAACCTTTTTCTGTCGAGGTAAGTGAAAATTGCAAACATTTTAAAATGGAGTCCATTTAGACTAATACTGACTAAGGAGATTTACTAAATCTTTACAAAGGTTTTTATGGTCGACTGTGTTGAAAAACTATGCATGTACCCCCGTGTTTGACAAGAGTGCATATGAATGAAATGCACCCATGTTGATTCCAGGGAAAGAAGATACTCTAGCATTCGGCTCGGTGGAAAGAACAGACTATTTTCAGAGCCTGTCAAAACAGAATAGCTGAATGCAAGCTTAATAATTCGCTAAAATACAATTAAGCCAGATCAGTGGCTCCAATTCAGCATGGGCACATCTAGTGTTGGCAATTTTCATCTTAGGATTACAAAAAGGTTCATGTTCTGAAATAAGTATAATCTTCTGAAAACTTCAGACTTCTGTTTTACAGTGTTTTTGTTTTCCAAATTATGCCAAGTTTTGGTTATTTCCGTCTTCTTTTTTTGTACTGCATAAGAAATTGTAAATTGCAGATTACTACTTCCCCCATGGATTTGTGTACATTATCTGCTGTTTTCATCCTGCAGAGAAAGTCATCAAGTGTTGATGTGCACGAGGATAAATTCTTAAAATATGAGACCGCCTGGTCACAGAGCATCAAACTAACAATGGACTGCAACATGTGTATCAGATCACTTACACTGCAATGTATAAAGTTATATAACATTGTCCACTAACTCACCATCATAATCTCTGCATCGATCCCTAGGCCTGCTGGCAGGCTGGTTCCCTTCACCGCCTCCCACCACAGTGATGACGCTATTCACATTGCCAGAGCCGCTGGTGGGTACCGGTGATCTACTCCGGGACCTGGATCTGGGTCTGGATCTGGAACGAGAGCGCGGTCTACCGGCATCGTCGCGCCGGTCCTCCCGCCTGTTGTCCTCACGTCGGTCGCCGTAAGGATGGTCCCTATTGCTGCGGTAACCTGAAGAAATATGGAGAGACTTCATACATTTTCGGAGGTCTTAAATTTTCTCTGGCCCTATTCAGGCCGCTCACTAAGACTTACAGACGATTGTCCAAATATTTGCTTCTCTTCACCCTCCTGCTGTTTGAAAAGTCACAGAAAGTCGAAAAAATTAATCCTCTTCCCCTGCCGTGCCTTTTACACAGGCTAGTCACCAACAATCAGATCTTATTATTTCAAGCAAGCTCTGAAACTACTCAAATTCAGTCAACGGACAAAAACAGGCTGGTGGTAAGCACAGCTGGCTTATCAATCGCCTACAGTCAAAAAATAGCTGTATCAAGTAAAGTCAAGTGTGACAAGTAAAGTAAATTATGTTGGTGTGCTAAGAATAGAGCTTGATAATACTAGTCAGTAAGGACCGAGTGTTTGGGCTTTGATTGCAGGTCAGGATTTTGGGGAACCCCCCCCCCCCCCCAAAAAAAAGAATCTGGATGCAAATCCGAGTCTAAATCCTTTTTAAAATTTTCGCTACTTTATTCACAACTGTGTCAGAGGCCTTGTGTCCAAACACTCATTTCCTTCCACATTAAATATTTTTTTTAGTCAACATAGCTTTGGTTCTTAGGGACAATTATTCTACCACCCTTTACATAAATCTTGTTGGGACTTGGAAAAGGACTTCAGAAAATGCTAACGGGACACCTACCTCTGAATCCCCTGTCTCTATGACTGTATCTCTCCCTGTCTCTGTCTCTATCTCGGTCTCTGTCAGTGTGGTAGCGGTTGCCATGGCGATCATGGCGATCATCCCGCCGGCGAGACCTGTCGTCATCCCTTGGTCGTCTCCGCCTGGTAACATAAAAAAAAATTGTTGAAATAGTTATTAATATGATAAAATGAATTGAATCTAGTCAATAGAGAGACAATAGGTCTCGTTCAAATGACGTCATTTCCTACAGACCAGCCACGTGCATCGGCATTTTGAGCGTCAACTTGCATAACGCGCATCCGCTGCGTCGCATTTCGAACACATTTCGAGCAACAAGCACGCGTGTTTGGAACATTTTCAACACTGCGCAATACGTGCTTGATTGCATGAAATACGCAGTTGCACTTCTCCTACAGAAATGGCCGTCATTGAACAAGCCCTATTCTTCGTCTGCAAAGCACCCCTCTTGGATAACTCTTTTAACAACACAGATGCTGTCAAGTCAATCACAAGTCAAATCACAAGTGAGGTCACAAGAAGCAGTGAAGAACAATGACAAAGGAATGCCTTGGTCACAGATCATGTGAATGGCCTGTTAAATACACTTCAAACTGGATGGCTAAAGATTGGCTTTTGATTAACTAATGATTGACTTGTGAGTGACTTTTGAGTGACTTGTGATTGACTAGTGATTGACTTGTGAGTGGCTTGTAATTGACTTGTGAGTGGCTTGTGATTGACTTGTGAGTGGCTTATGATTGACTTGTGATTGACTTGTGATGACTTGTGAGTGGCTTGTGATTGACTTGTGAGTGGCTTGTGATTGACTTGTGAGTGACTTGTGATTGACTTGTGAGTGACTTGTGATTGACTAGTGATTGACTTGTGAGTGGCTTGTAATTGACTTGTGAGTGGCTTATGATTGACTTGTGAGTGGCTTGTGATTGACTTGTGAGTGGCTTGTAATTGACTTGTGAGTGGCTTGTAATTGACTTGTGAGTGGCTTGTGATTGACTTGTGAGTGGCTTGTGATTGACTTGTGAGTGGCTTGTAATTGACTTGTGATTGACTTGTGAGTGGCTTGTGATGATTTGTGATTAACTTGTGATTAACTTGGAATGACTTGTGAGAACTTCATAACAACTCTACTTAACAGACTAGTTCCCTTAAAGTCAAAGCACTCAGCTGCAAACGTGACAACTGACCTTCCAGGGCTGTGGCTTCTTGATCTTGTCCGGGAGCGGCGCGGCCTTCGCTGCTCCCTCTCCCCTTCCTCCCCGCCTGCCTCCAAGGATCGTTTCATCGCTTCGTTGCTCCTCATCGTCGAGACCGACTCATCCCTCAGGGCACTCATGTCTGCATCGGACACCTGCGGGGGTTGACTCTCACCGGGTATGTCACCCTGTTTGTCCTTGGGTCCCTCCTGCTGTGCGTCAATAGGGGTGCTGCCATCCTGTGTCAGATAGGACTTGGTCGCGATGGCTTCAAAGAGGTCATTGACAAAGCCTTCCGTTTCTGCAAAAAAAAGTAAACAAAACAATAATTTTAAAGGTGTTTCAGCTTATTTTTCAACTTTCCTGTTTTTGCTTTTTTTGCTCAAGTTAGCATTTAGCATCATGTTATTTCCCAGATTATGCCAGCAATCTTAAATTGTCCAAGATGGAAGAAGGGTTAGCAAGGTTAATCTGACGGATCTATTGATAGGAAAATCAATGTCCAAACACACACACAGAAATAACTCTTTGAGGTTTTTTTCGAAATGGAACAGGAGATTTTGGAAGATTTTGCAGGATTTGGGAAGGTTGACTACAATCTGCAAATTTTTGAATTGAGCTTGATGCCACTTTCAGGCGTGCAACTGGGAATTTAGAGGAAAATAATGAGGAAATTCCAAATCATACAAAAATTTGTACAGTGTTTTTCAATTTGTAATGGCATTCATGAGAAGTAACAAACGAGGAAATCAGCGGATCCGAGAAAAAGTTGCATGCCTGCACTTTAGGGAATATGAGGAATGATTCAGGAAGGTTCCCAACAAAAATAACAAGGGAGTTAGGGTTGAATTAAGCCACAGACTGTGTCCACGACTACCACACAAGTTCTCCACCACATACTCACCACCGACTAGGAAGACTTCCAGCTGAGCTGTGCATATTTCTTTGAGCTCTTGTTCACTTTTGTCCTTTTTGACAAGAGCGACGACATACTTCGACAAAGGAACAGGGTCTGCTTCACATCTACAATTGGGAACAAAAGAAGAAGTTGCTATAACTTGCTCCACAATGTAAGGAAACGGTGAGTGAGATGAAGTTGGGACAAATTTGTTGGGGTTTCAAACGGAATGAAATCTGACGTTAATACACAGCTATTTTGAAACAATAATCAAAATAGTGTGTATTGACATCATCAGGAAATCCTAACTAGGAGTAGGACTGGAAATAGAGGTAGAAACGAAGTAGCCTCAAACACGAAAGATAATAAAGTTTACGGAAAGAATGATCTATCCGGAGGCCACTTTTTTTTTCCTCATATGTTATCTCAATGAACGTCAGTTATTGCAAACATGTTTTGGAAAGACATGAATATGGGACTACACTGAGAAACATTTCCAATTTTGTTAGACAATACTTTGAAAATGCATTCAACTCTCTAAAGTCTTTGTACGCAACCAACACCAAAAAAAGTGGTGTCGGGATACTACATTCTTACATTCTCAACAAGTTTACGACAAGTTTATATTTTATTTTATTGGAATTTTTCACGAGAGTATTCCATTTCAATTTAAAAACAAATGCTTTCCAAAAGAGCCCTCACATTAAAATTACATGGAAATAAAATTAAACAAACATTATACTTACAAAAAGTAGACAAGAAATTAGACACAAAATTTACACATAGACAGTGCCCCTAGTGTCAGATCCTATATCCCCGTGTCATATATGATTTCAAAATATTCCATTATCGGAAAATTAAAAAATCTTTTTAACCCCCCCCCCAACCCCCGCCAAAAAAAAGAAGAAAATAGACTCTAACATGAGCTACACTTATTGTAGGTATGTGACAAAAAATTTAAACTTCACCCAATTTAACTGTAATGGATACCATTGTAAAGAGCTTAAAGAGAACTTTAAAATGATGTATAGATCACTGTTCTAGGTGAAAATTTATAAGAGTTACATTTATTTTAAACTCGGGAATTGTCGGTGAAATTTCGGCCTCCAAAAACAAAGAAAAACATAAGAAAATTTGTGACCGTTATTTGGGTTACGTCATGACTCTATTTGTTTTGGTGCACTGTAACTTTCTTATTACAAGTCAGAATCTCATCAAAATTTCACAAAAGACATTACAATGACTATATATTATGATTATATTATGATAATTGATATTGATTAACAATCAGTAAACACAAATTATTAATTTATCAATTAGTGTGATGACCATTGGGGCAATTCCATCAAAAGTGGACACGGCTGAAAAATTGCAATTTTTATATATCTCTAGAAGTACAAATATCACAACAACAAATGTGGTATCAAATTAAAGAGGTCAACAAGATCTTTCATTTGAGTGGTATGCCAGTGGGATAGAATGTAGTTTAGTGTTTTGGGTTAAAAAAAACTCCATTTTTTTTCAAGCTAAAATACATGAAATCAGGGATTTTTGGAAGTCATTTTTGCACCTTGTTTTGTTATAAATTCAGAGAGAAGATTCAAATTTCTTGTTTGATTTTGACACAAATTCAAGTCTCTTCTGTAGTTTTCTTTTCCTTGGTGTGATGAGCACTGTTCGAGGAGATTTTCTTGCAGGTGGTGATTGTTTTGGACTGGGAGGCTCTTTGGGGTTAGATGGCCCAGGTTCTCCATCAGGCTGAATTTCTGAAGTTGATGGCAAGGTTTTTCCAGATTGAATGCCAGAAGTTGATGGCCCAGGTTCTCCAAATTGAATGCCAGTCGATGGCACAGGCTCAGAGGAGGAGAGTTGAACTACTGGTGTATGCTGCTGATGGAATTTGTACTGCTTCCGACATACCTCATCAAATTTCTTCACGTCAGCTTCACGTGACAAATGTTTATATTTCTGGAGTGTTGTTCGAACAAGGCTCTGCAGTTGGTTAGTTGAAAATGTAAACGAGGCACCAATCTTTTCTCTAATCACCTGAACAGTACTGAAGAAAGACCGTTCATTTGTAATGAACGAGAAGAGGATGTGTCCAACTTGCAAATTGCGATCTGGAAGTGAACTGAAGTTTTCAATCAGATACTGACAAGCTTTGCCTGGCTTTGCTTGAAAAAAATCCCTCTTCTTCTTTTTAGGTGGCATTTTTGATAATTATCTGAAAATAAAGAAAGTAGTGATATCATAATTACTATGGAAGGTGCTTGTTTTATCGAAGCCTGTGGCGGCTGACAAGATATATAAATTTTCTTTCAAACATTACAAAAAATAAAATTTTCTTTGCTTAATAAAATAAAGGGTGTATTTCATTTTTTTAAAATAAAATATGAACAAAAAACTTAGTACTTTCATTAACTTAACAGCATAATCATCCAAACTGCAATTAGGCCACACCCTCGAATTCTACCAGGGAGAAAAAAAAAAAAATCACTAACAAATTACATGACTGGAGCGAATTGGCAGATCAAAACTTGTCCAATATAAAATATGAATCAATTAATAAAAAAAAAATTCAATAAAATATGTAATTAAGTAAACAAAATATAATAAAGGATGGGCCTACAAAAAAACGACCCTGAAATAAAAACAAACTAAAAAAAAAAAAAAAAAAAATAGCTCGCCCCATGTTAGCCCCATGTGTAAAAAGCATAACTGGGGCGAACTAAATCTGAATTAAATCCAAAATCATCCGCTTGATTCGAATGTTTTTTCGATCAAATACCAGAGAATTATGAAGAATATATATTAAAATTCATTTTAAGGGTGTTTTTTTCAAATATCAAAGGCCCTTAGCATGTTTTCCAGAAGGATGATCTACATCTTGATTTCAATGGAATCTCACGGTAACCGCCATGTTTGTGTGCACCGTCGCGATGACCGATCGTATAAAACAATTTTTGCGGATTAAAAAAAAGGGTGTGGGAATCGTACAATTACCTTTATATTTTCAGGTTTTGTAAATGAATACATAAATTTAAGAATGTAAATGTTTTTAAACGAAATCTAACTTACATCACGTAGAATTACGCTGACTTTCTCGGATGAATTTTTAAAATGCACGTAATCCAACTTTAACGTATCGCATGACAAAAATCTAGGTACGAGGTTGTAGCATATGATTTCCTCTTTCTCACAGAACAATCCATTTTGCAGGGGATGCCCCTGGTTAACTGGTATCCGGCCGCAAACATAACAGCACAAAAGCATAGCCGCAAAATGCGGTCACCATTGACAGGGCCGAAAACGCAGCGCGCACTGACGTGTTTTGTCACATACCAACTTATTGGATTATATACCAGTCCTTTTGGTACTTATTTTATACTTACATTGGTTCCAGTTTTCTTTTTAACCAGGCTTTCAGTTTCTCGACATTTTGGATGGTAATGGGCATCGTGTAAAATTCTGCTCACGCCAAGACGAGTCGTCAGTGCAGTGGTCCTACTGCATGTACTGGTACTGGTAGATTTCAGTGGTGCGTCGATGGAGCGGAGTTCACCGACATGACTAACCCGGTTTCTGTGAAGTGAGAAGTACAGATGCTACGATTCCCAAATGACTGAATCTACTTTCTGTATAGCCTACTCGTCTGATCAGATGAAACAATGTTACTCAAAGTAATCTTTCTAGTGATATTCTTTGGCACAAATGTTAGAAGATGTGCGAAAAATTCCACATACACGCCGTGATCGTACTACGCGTAAATGAATGGACAACAAAATCAGAATGGATCCCATTTTTTAACTCTCCTACTTCACGAGGTAATGCGATGGGGAAGTCTAGGTACAAGACGTATCCACAGCTAGCGGTACGCAATGAAACGGCAGAGGGCGCTATACAGAAAGTGGTGAAAGCAAAATCTTCGTCCACCACGTGCCCTCATGATATTGATCATCGCCGGTGTGGACGGTAATTCTGTCCCCCGTAAAAAGGGTCCGGGGGGACAGAATTACCTAGGTAACAGTGTCCTCCCCGGCCCGTTAATTCTGTCCCCCTTCAGGTAATTCTGTCCCCTCCAGGTTATTTTGTCCCCCTATTTGCAACGCAGAAGGCCAGTTCTCTATATTGTTTTCATGAATTCACTCTACAAGGTAAACATTTTTTACTCTTTAGTCTGCCCTTCATGAAGATGAAAAAATTTTACTTTTTGGTCTCTTTCTTAGGCCATCACCCCCCCCCCCCCACGCGGCTACGCCACTGAGTGTATTTCTTGAGTTGTTGGCCCCAAATCGAGTTTGGTGGTGGAGATTGAGACCACTATAATAGTAGAGGGCGCGCCACATAAATACAAAATGGATTAAATACAAAATGGATTAAATTGAAATTTCGTGCAATTAGTTTTCACGATGTGTAGCATGAGTGGTTTGAATGGCGTGAGAAACCGTGGAGCTATAAATATAATATGATCGTAACAATCTAGTGTTTTAAACGTTAAAAATCCATGTTGACTTCCATTAGGATTGTATTTGTTGCAAATAAAATCCTGTATTGTTACGGTCATAATAGCTTTATTAATGGACTTTTTTTTCTGAAATAAAATCTTTTGATGCCAAACATCATGACAAATGAGTGTACGAAAATTCATTTTAATGTAACGTGTATTTCTTGAGTTGTTGGCCCGAAATCGGGTTTGGTGGTGGAGATCGAGACCACTATAATATAGAGGGCGCGCCACATAAATAGTGGTCTCGGCAACGCATCAACACGGATGCTGCACAATTGAAGAAAAAGAACAACCTCGTTTCCGATGAACTACTCAAGAAATACAAAATGGATTAAATTGAAATTTCGTGCAATTAGTTTTCACGATGTGTAGCATGAGTGGTTTGAATGGCGTGAGAAACCGTGGAGCTATAAATATAATATGATCGTAACAATCTAGTGTTTTAAACGTTAAAAATCCATGTTGACTTCCATTAGGATTGTATTTGTTGCAAATAAAATCCTGTATTGTTACGGTCATAATAGCTTTATTAATGGACTTTTTTTTCTGAAATGAATAATAGAGGACGCGCCACATAAATAGTGGTCTCAACAACGCATCAATACGGATGCTGCACAATTGAAGAAAAAGAACAACCTCGTTTCCGATGAACTACTGAAGAAATACAAAGTGGATTAAATTGAAATTTCGTGCAATTAGTTTTCACGATGTGTAGCATAAGTAGTTTGAATGGCGTGAGAAACCGTGGAGCTATAAATACAATATGATCGTAACAATCTAGTGTTTTAAACGTTAAAAATCCATGTTGACTTCCATTAGGATTGTATTTGTTGCAATTAAAATCCTGTATTGTTACGGTCATAATAGCTTGATTAATTGACGTTTTTTTCTGAAATGAAATCTTTTGATGTCAAACATCGTGACAAATGAGTGTACGAAAATTCATATTAATATAACGTGTATTCAGTGGGGCGTAGCCAGGAAGTTTTTATGGGGGGGGGGGCATAAAGCTCCGCTTTTTGGGGATCCCCTTCCATCATCTCTAATTTGAAAATAATGCGCTCAAAGTATATAAATACATTTTGTAAAACCAGTTCTAATTTCTTAATATCTAGAACAACATGTATGTATTAATGCCTTGTCACTTAATGAAATGATATGTGGTAAAAATAATAAAGAATGAATGAATGAATGAATAAGTTTTATTTTTATAACTTTGCATTTAATATCCCAGCTTTTTCCTCTGAACGGGGATATGTTTAATTTTTAATTGACGGTTCAAAATGGGTTTTTTTCTTGTTAAATCTTAACTTAACTAATCTGTTTCAAATTGCGAATAAACGAAATCAAATCAAAATTGGGAACTTGACATTGATGTCCATATTTGAGTCCTTCCTCGAAATTGATTTTTAGTTGTGTATGTTACAATGCGATAGATTTCAATCGTACTTCAGGAATTAAATGCCAGTATTTTTTCGTCTAGGAGCTAGGCCTAGGCTAGTCTGAGTATCACCTGTTATCCACAGAGCAAGACTCCTGTGTGCCGTGGTCTACATAGACGAGGCCTAGGTGGCTTTTGAGTGGGTTTTAGTAACTATAGCCCCCCCCCCCCAGAAAACTTTAGCGATTTGTATATTATTTCTCATTGACTAGTCGTCAAAAAAGGAGAAGTTTCCCGCGCATAAATAACCCACATGGTTGTGTAAATAAGTACAGAAACAAAAACGTATTTTTATTTATAAGATGGGGTCGACTTGCGAATTGCACCCCCACCACATATCCCCACCCCATATCTCCACCCCTCGACGTGCAGACGGCAGGTGACGTCACTAGGATAATGGTATCACTGCTGTGTGCAGCACGCACGTACGGCGAATTATGCACCGTCATTAATCTGTGTACAAAATGCACATCGATCGTTTCCGCGCCGGCTACCAGGCAAGAATCGCAAACGTGTGCAAAGCAACGTATTAAAGGTCGCATAACATGGTCTGTTCGCCGACCCACGTTTTTATAAGGTAATCAAATGGACTGAAAATTCCGGAGCCTGGATATGATGTTGAGCTGGCTGGATATGGCGACATGTGCTTGAGATGATTGCCGAACGGACTTCAAGGATTCAGATTTTCATGCTTTAAATGTATTCCTTTAATGTTATAGAAACGCTTAGTAAATTTCTACTGAGCATAAAACTGTAACGGACCGGGATCGAAGCAGAAGGCATGCAGTTTGGAGGCGAGATTCACCAATGAAGTTAGCACTGCTAGCCGAGGTTTGGTAAAATTCCACGGTGTGGATTTTGCACATGGTGATTGTCTGACCTGTGAACTCTCTCGGAGGTCGCACGAATTTCTACTCATTCGTACCATATTGAATGGAACTTTATCCGGTAAGACACGTGCTTGAACCGTGGAAGGCGGCGCCACTATCTCCACTGGAACATAATTAGTTCTTCGGAGTTGCCATCAGTTCAAACAAGCCGCGAGAACGCCGTAGATTTGTCGAGTAAATTCATCACAACCTAAACCAACCGTCCGAGTCCACTTGAGCCTGACGTGTGTGTGTTGTGCTCGCCGGCGCGTACCGCGTGTGGAGTGCTCGGCAGCCGGCGGGCGAGGCAGATCAGACCAGATCGTCAGATTTGGCCATTTCTCATCCATTTCAGCAAACTCTCCTTTGTGATTATTAGTACCCTTGAGACACCATCTCTTTGGCTTTCATATTTAATACCTTTGTCGTTGGTTTGTTTAATGAGTGAAAGTTGAATCAATATTTCAAAGTACCATTACTCACTACCAACCCATTCATTTCCTGATTCCAAACTTCCTGGGACCCTTTTGTGGGAGTGTTACTTCCATGAGAAAACAGTTCTACAGAAAGCTTTGCAGTTAGTTTGACAGACTCATTGTTTGTATTCCCCAATACTGGTATTGACTTTCATTTGCTTTTCAAAAGCATTTCACTAAGTTAAAACAGTTAAGCAAAAGCTGTGTCGTGGAACCAAGGGACTAAAATATGGCAGCAGAGGTTGCCAAGCAACCAAGCTACAGCAGTGTGGTTCAGGAGCAATCTGAACCGGCCAAAGCTGTGGACACTCATCCGAAAGTGTCCGCAATGCGGCCGGACGTCAACTCCACAGAATCGAAAGAAAACGTCAAACCTACAGTGCCGGATAAAAACGCGGAAACGGCCGACGGGGAACAGAACAGAACAGAGGAGAACGATGCTGATGTTGCCAAGCAGCAGTATGTGGAGGCGCCCCCACCAAAGGTTAACCCTTGGCATAGGAACAACACAAACGCTGTTGCGGTGGATCCCATTACACAAGAAAAGGAAAAACCTCTCGAAAAACCACAGGATGTGAAGACTAAAAGCCTCTCAAACAACACTCATGTCGCAAACGTGAAGAAGGCCAACAGTGACGCAAACAGGAAGCCGCCTCCAAAAAGTGAAAAAGAAGACAAAACAGAGAAGAAGTTCATCATCGAGGAAGCGCCGCCACCCAAAGTGAACGCATGGACTAAAAATAAAGCTGCTGTTGTAACTACGGCAGCTTCCATCGCGAGCGCTCCACCTCCAAAGACAGTTGATGCCGAGGCGTCTGCGACTGCTGCATCCACGACTGCGTCCACGACTGCGACTAGTACATCCCCGACCATGGCTGCATCTGCAATACCAACAGCTCCACCTGTTCCTCCGGTCGTAGCGAAGAGTGACAACAAGATGGCACAACCCCCAACACAGCCTGAGCAACAACCTGTGACGCACACTCAGGCAGCTGCAAAACCCAAAACACTGTCAAAAGGTGAGAGATGTTAACCGTAATAACATGTGATTGACCGGACAGTGATGATCATAATTCATATGTTGTGTGCAATTCTGCATTTGTTGTATGTACAAACTCTGTGCATAATCACTTGATTTTTTCCATCCAGGTTACTTCTTGTGTAACTTCAGTTGCTGCAGATCTATAAAGGTGGCCAGATCTTTTGATTCTAAATTTATGATGTATATTTATAAGCAACAAACTTTTCCAAGTTCTAAGACTTGGTATACTACAAATTACAATGTAGGTATGCAAAGAGATTAGTCCAGGACACTTCAGGGCATTTTTGTGTTGACCTCTTTTATCATTTTATATGCAGAAAGCTATCTTTACCATTATGCGTTCACAGACTTGTACGTTATACTATTTCTAAAAATAGCCTGACCTGAGCCATTCAGTAAGCACAGTATTAATTTACATACATGTACATGTACGCTGTACATGTACATGTACATGTACATGTAGGCTGTACATGTACGCTATACATGTACATGAGTGCTGAATGCATTCAGGTGTGCAGTGCATGTTTGACTACTGTTGGACTAAATAATGTGGCAATACTGTCGTACAGGGCAGGCCACTGCCCAAAATAGGCTGGTACCTGTGATGTGAGGATCACATGTACATTTATAATAGTATAAAGTTTTGTGTTGAAGTCCAGACTCCAACAAATAGCATAATTTTTAACGTTGAAGCTTCGTACATGTATGCTTAATGTAAATTTCTGAGCATGTAGCAGTTAATATAATTCCAAAGTACATTTTGTACAATGTACGTGCCAAATTCAAATTTTTATCACTTCATTTCTCACTATTTTTCTGTGATAGTTAACACACCTTGTCTGTTAAACATATATAAGTTTTTGGTAGTAATATAACTTAAAAGGACCTTTTTGGATGCGCCTGAAAACACATGGTGTATTCAAATGTCATACACACTAACACTGAGCTTAAGTTTGCAGTTAATAATGCAGTTTCAGTGCTGTGTCGTTAAAGTACAGCAGACCCAATTTTTTCATCCCGTTTATTGCAGACAGCATACATGTTTATATAATGAGGAAACGCACTCAGCCACATCAAAACTCAGACTAATGCGCACGATTAAACCTATTTAAAAAAAAATTGCCTTATGGCACATAAAAAAAAAGAATGCATGAAAGATTTTGCATGGCAATTTGTTCAAATGCAAAATACAGTGGTTAATCATTTATGTATACATCGAGCACACTGATTATGCAGCACTGCGCCTCATTGATTTAAAAGAACTGATGAAATTTGACAGGAAGTTGTTAAAAATGAAACTGTAACAATCGTTAGCCAGCCATGCGTATAGATACATGTACATGAGTTGCACAGTGGCTATTCTTAAAAAATGCGGTAATTAATAGTGCAGAAAGTCACTGGTTACAACTTTGGTATATTGTATTATATCTTGGGGGGGGGGGGGAGTATGGTCAGACATTGAACATTTACTTGGTTAAGTAGCCATATTCGTACCAATTATTCAAGCATGTTCCAATTGGACATGAACATGCCAGCATACAGTTTCTACAGAGCATGTAATCAAACAGTCTATGGGCGTGTGGTATTTGCCATGGTGTTGCATACTGTAGAAATTTTCTTGCAGAGATTTTCATACTGTGCAGTATACATACATCCTTTTCTTCACATATGTACATGTAGTACATGTGTAGATACTATATAATCCTTTTTCAGTGTAGTGCACATGTATGCACCCTGAATGGCCATTGTAGTAATTCATAACAAGGTTACCCATTCATTCAATAACAGGAATCATTCATGTTGTACAATGGCACTTCCATGTACAGTGTACATGTACTGGTACACACATATATCAGCCATTGTCCATTTGGGCGGGGAAAGATGTATGTATGAAAAGGAAACCAGTAATTATATCCTAATAAATCATGTTAACATATTTACAACGTATGTAGGGTTGTCGAATTTTCACTTCTGTTGTATGCCCTTTGTGCATGCTCTGTATTTTGTATGTAATGTAAGCATTGAACTTGCAATATACATGTACACTGTCACTAGGTACATGTACCTAGTGCCTTTATACACAGCCAACTGAGCCAAGCGCAGTGTTCCTGTATGCACAGATGTATGATTTTACATTGCTTATAAATACTAACTGGTTGGAATGACAACCCTTTCCCATTGTACCATTTGACCTTTCTATACAAGAAACAACACAGTTGCCATGAAGGCAAAATTTGAACATGAACAATTTAGGTAAGTTGATGAAGTTGCATCATATACATGTAGACCCCGCTGAAAATTACAGGTGAAAATGTTCTTAACACGTGCGCGTATGTTGCTAACAATTTCTTTGAAATCGGCACAGCCGACACACTTCACGGTAATTTGACGCCCAAAATGTTGATGCACGTGACAATCTGTAAGCAGTGACGTCACTTGAGAGAGATCTATTGCGCAATGTACCGGTACATGAATGGCAGATAATTGATTGTTTTTCTCAAGCAAACATAATTGTGACAGTGATTTACTGAACCCTTACAAAGCTATTTCAATTTTAGTAGACAATGGATATTTTGATATTATAAATAAAAAATGTACAATTGTGCATCATAAAGTCAAGTCTCAATCTCTAAATATGTCACGGAAAAAATAATATTCATTTACTTAAATTTTCGTGCTCGGGCTGAAGTTACAGGATTATTTTTTCATATTGGGTTCCCCCCCCCCTCAGACAGTACAATAGTCCTGTTTCACAATAACTGTAGAGGTCAAAAGTAGTTTTCAAAAATGGCAAATAATCACAAAAATTACTTCTGATTTTTGTATGAACAACTACTGCTGGTATCAAGTAATGATTTAACAAAGGTATCAACAAATGCAAATAAGAAGTTTTTTATTTTATTTTTTATTAAACTACGTACTTTTCATTTCAAATATTTAAGCAATATAAAATGACCAAAAATCAATTGAATAGCCAAATATTCAAATATTGAGCGTAGCTGTATGCACAGGTCAAGCACTAATAGTGCTGTGTACCTACAATATGTTCAGCTAGGCGCGAACAGACAGGAACAATCTAACAGCTTGTCATTATTAAGCACTTGTAACAAAATATAGCTGTACAGTACTTCTACAAGTACATGTACATGTATATTAGGCCAAAAAAAAAAAACTCGGTCTCTGGTCAGCGCGCGCGTCGATTTTAATCATGCGCGTCAACCTTTCTTTTTTTTCAAATTAACACGGAAGCTACAACAGCGCCCTCTATTGCCGCGCCCTCCTCAAATTTTTGTACCAAGGAGCACCAAGGAATGGGGAAATTGCACCAAGGCAAATGATAAAGGGCACCAAGGCAAATTATGGAGGACACCAATGTATAATGAGGACACAAAAAAGCAAAATAGTACCCACCTTGTCTGTACAATACAAGCTTGAAAAAAAAAAAAGCCCCCAAAAAAGAAAAAAAACAACAACGCATCGCAGCATGCTGGATCCAGATTGGACGGCAGTGGCTGTAGAATTCTACGTAGCATCTGCTAATGTGATAGACACTCGTGGTTGCCAGTGCGTTACAGAAATGTTGAGGGGGTGTTTATGTTAATATCAAGCTTCAAATGTCTTAGAAATTTGTATAAGCAATTAGAAGATGGGAGACGGAAAAACAATTTTTTTTTATTCAATATTTATCATGGTGTAATGAAAGTGAAGCACGCAAAGGTTGTTTGAAAATTTACGGTTCACACTGTAAACTGGCAATTTGTAAAGTTCCCATCCCTCAATTTTCTCATCATTAGGAATTTACAGTGTTGAACACTTGACATTTGATGCAATTTAGAGAAAGTTGTATTTTTATCCAAGCATTTGCACTTGATCTGAAGTGTGTTTCTTGTGTGGGACTCGAACCTTCAACATTATTACTTTATTGAGCAAATAGCTCAATCCTGTTTATGGATGTTGTGATAACGCCGAGTGCAAAACCATCTTAATCCTAACTCCCTTGGCAATTTTGCTAGGATGCAACCTCAATCCTGCAAAATCCTCCAATTGCATCAATGTAAAAATTGCATACAGCCTGAATCCTGCAAAATTCTCCGTTATTTCTTCAATGTGGTCCTTGGAGGGGTGACCACTACCTCAATCCTACAAAATCCTCCAGCAATCACTGTCAGTATGTTGAGGCAGAGCCTGTGACATCCTGAAGCAGTGCGGAGGATTTCAATTAAATGTATGCATGGCTGAGCATAAACAACACAAGGTCCGGCCTTAGACGTTGACACACTGCATCCTACGAAAACAGCCACACACTTTTGCCACATAGCCTCAATACTGCAAAATCCTCCATTTTGGAGGATTTTGGAAGGTTAGGGTTAAAGAGGCACACCAGTTACACCTAATAAATAAAAAAAAACAAGTAATAAATCTAAAAAACAAACAAACAAACAAGTAACAGAGACTTGTAAATGCTTACACATAAAGTTAATGATCATGGGTGTTAATAACAAGATTGTCTCTCAATAAATCGAGTAAGATAAATATGTACAAGTTAATGGATGTGACACGTGTTACATGATAAGCCCAACCAGCACTGTACATGCACAGTAAGTTTATGGCATTTCATACCATATGGTACTGCATTGGCTTCATTTGTTGTTATTCTATACTGTGAACTGTTCATGTTTTCATTACTATGTGCCACGTGTGGGAATTTTTTATTTAACGAACAATTTTTTTTTTTTTACACAGTTCCATTTAACTAACAAAAGTCCATATGTGCCCAAAGAAGTCATGAAGATGCCTTTAAAAGTATGATCCAATGACTAGTAAACAAACAAAATATATTGTGACAATCGTGTCAAGATGTTGAGTGGTATTAAAAACAGAAGGTTGAATTCATTTGTGTATTTTGAGCGATTGTTTAAACAGTTGCTGGCGGGGAAATTTGCTGTAACCTGTTCGTTGATAGAGAAAACGCAATGTGTATCTTTTCTCTGTGCTTGTGATCAAGTTTGAATTGGATTAGGAGTGGGAGATAGTAAAATGGAGGGCAAACCAAGGGACTGGGTTTGGGGAAATTTGGAGCAGTGTACATTGTACATAGGTTTTTCTGTTTGACTTGGTACCGTGTTATAGTGCCCTCTATTGACCCAGTTTGCAATGTACATTGTAAGTGTAAGCAATACTGACTTATTCGTTTGGTTTTTTTTGTAGATGAAAGTGGTTACTTCCCCAAAGCGACCGTGGTCAAAGCTTCCAATGACAAGAACACAGTGGTAAGTCCAAAATTGGGATAAATTTAAAAGAAGGGTTACTTCCTAATGCCAGTGTGGGGTAGATCTGCGATTTTGTTGTATGTTCAGGAGTTCAAAGGTCACCATGTCTGATTGGCTTATCATGGCCAGCCTATCAGTATCAGCATGTTATTTGTCATTCAGGCTTCTGGCAATTTTGCGAGTTCAAAGGTCATATTTTTTTTTTGCTTGTTGTCTCATCCAGTCCATGCAAAGGATTATGCCAATACTTGATAGAATAATGCAAAACAAAATTTAAGTGTTTTTTTTAGAAAAACATGTCCTGGGTGCAAGATACAATTTGGCTTATTATATTTTTTAAGTGAGAAACAAATGATTTTTAGAATAGAAAGATTACAAAAATGTATCCAGTGTAGTGTTTGCTAAAATTGACAGCTGGATGTATTTTTGACTACTCTCCTTAAATTTAGCATCCTGCTTTAAAAGACAGTTTGAGAAGCCAAATATATGCCCACGTTCAAATTCAGAAAAATTGTGGACTTTAACCGTCTGCTCAACTACATGTACAACAAACATCAAACTCGTCTAAAAAAAAACCTAACCCCCTAGGGCCTTTTTGCTAGGAATCATCCTCAATCCTCCAAAATTCTCAAAAATTTTGCACTCATGTTTAAATGAAAGATACCCAGCGCCTCAATCCTTCAAGATCGTCAGACAGTCCTGCCTCAAATAATGCATTCATCCTCAATCCTCCAAAAAACCTCCTCTTCTTCAAACACCATTCATCCTCAATCCTCCAAAATCCTCAAAAATGTTTCTCAAACACCATTCATCCTCAATCCACCAAAATCCTCCCAAACTGCAAAATCGTCGGACAGTCCTGCCTCAAAAAAATGCATTCATCCTCAATCCTCCAAAAATCTCCTCTTCTTCAAACACCATTCATCTTCAATCCTCCAAAATCCTCCCAAACCGCCACAAGGATTTTGTAGGATTGAGGAGGGTTAGGTGAATTAAGACCATCATATGGTTGCCACATTGAGTGCTGCAAAGGGGAAGAAGCGTATTTGGCAAATTTGACTGAAGTTTGTTGTTGTATTGTTCCTGCAGGCAAGCGACTTCAATGATCTCACAAGCTGGCCTTCCTTGGGTGGCGGCCCACGAGTCAAGAAAGAGGTGAGTGTGAAGCAGTTGATGCTGACTGCTCAGACCAGTGATCTCTATCAGATGTTCGAGGAGGGTAGGCCACCCGACTAAAACCTTAGGCCTTCCCAAAAGCTGAAAAGCATGCTATTGCTTTTTTACATCACCCACTTCATATGTTAGCAATCAATAAAGAAGTGACAGTGTTTTCATTGATTCCTGATTCACGAAAAATATTTAAAAAAACCCCAACCTGAATAGACTGACAGTGATGACCGTCAGAGCTACGGTGATCATGCTGTCCCAAAATGCAGTATCCAAACTTAACTCCTAAGCATTTGTTCTAGGAAGATTTCCGAATCCTCCAAAATCCACAACTCGACCCAATTACACGATACTAGCACTTCAAAACTTCCAAATAAGTAAATCATTGTGGCCTGGCTAAATCCACGGGAATCGTCCGAAAGGCCTGAGAGATAAGATGAAGGAATATTATTTTAATAATTGGGGGTTTTGTTCGCAACATATAGACGCCAGTGTCTCCAAGAGCAAAGGAGCCTACAAAATCCGATCCTCCCTCTAAGAAGGACATCCCTGCTGCCAAAAAAGAGCCTCCCGCCAAGAAGGAGACGGCGACCCAGTCCAAGGGACGGGAGATCAAGAAGTCCCCCGCCAGGGAGGCTCGGGCTCCCAGAGCTCCTAAAGAGGAAGCTAGCAAGTCAGCGGCAGGGCCTTCCAAGACCTCTGAGTCCAGGTCCTCTGAAAGGCGGGACAGGGACAAAGACAAGAAGAAAGGTAGGGCAAATTGCATAAATTTTCAAGACCTGCACAGTCTGACACCTCTAACGAAATGATCTTTTTTTATCGTGCAGCGAGCATATCAAGGTGTATGCAATATTGCTGTAACGTATAACTTAACCGATTCCATTGGAATGCCTAATTAAAGCTCCAGGGTACAATTGACTTATCGCCGTTTGCAAGTTAGCCATGCCCCTCAGACAACCCGATGGCATTTTTGTACCCTAAGTTTTGTTTGTCTCGGGTGTTGCGCGTTCCGCGTCCATTTGTATATCATGTAATTGGACAGTATTTCGCAAGCTGCGTTGACGCGATTCTAACGCGATTCTACAGCGATAGGTCAATTAAAGCAGAAACAGCAAAAAACAAAAGCAAATGTGTTGTCGCTCAAATATACATGTAGAAACATAATAAATGAAACCTAGTTTTAGGTGAAATCTGAGCACTTTCGTTATTGTTAGTCATTGCGTAGTATGTTTAGAGATCAGAGTTGTTTGTATGTGGTAAAGCCACATGTTCATTTTCTCTTTGGATTATTTTACATGTAAAAACCCTGCAATTTCAAAAAATTCTTACTTCACTTTCTCTTTCATAATGTCGTTTTGTTTGCAGGTACAATTTTTTTGCTGTTTCCAAGTTTGCTTGTTTTCATAAAGTTAAAGGAGTAATTTTGTATCGAATGCATTTTCCAGCCAAACGTCTCAAGAATGGCACAATTGTTTTAAGACACATCACCGCGTTTTTGTGTCGGTGTTAAATTAAATGCATTGGACTATCACGTGCACTTAAACATGTGTTACAATTGTAAGTCCCAACTTCTTGGGTTATTTTAATCATGCATTGTAATTTACAGATAAATTGCAAGCTTGCCTTGTGCAGGTTTTAGTGTACGTTTAATTCATGGGAATACTGCCATATGTTGAAAACAAAAAACGGCATTAGCATAAGAATATCCGCTTCAATTTTTCAATTATCAAAATTTCTCCCGATAAAAATTTATTATCATACAGCTCAAATCCAGTGTTTTTTGTTTTTTTAATTAACAGAAATTACATGAACATGACATGTACCTCAGTATTTACGTGTTTATTTATTTTTGTTTAATTGTTTACATGTAAGTAGTAATCCTGTGCTGATGTTATTTTTCGACATACCATGTTTCGGAAGAATGCAGCTAACATGCATGCACATGACACCCCAACATATGCCCTTTCAAAATATACATAATACATGCACATTATGTGTACTTTGTTTTTCAGTGTTTTTTGTTTATTTTGTCAGCCACCTATTTGGTCATTAAGGTATGCTTGTTTTCAAAAATACTCAAACACTTGAAATGCTAAACCAGTGTACACGTACATGAACACAATGTATGTTAGTCTCCACATGCAACATGCACATGTGGTCTAGCCATTTCCACTTGCACACTTCCAGGGATATTGCGCAATACTGCAATGGTCCCAGTGCATTGTGGCAGTCACATGGCCAACACACACGGCACTAGTACTGCCACACGTAGCCACGTATTATTCATTCATGCATGTGACTGGTACAGGTTATCTTCAATGGGGTAATCCATTGTGACTAAATGCCATGCAGACATCAGTTATATTATAACCACTATTATGCACAGACCAGCTGTTTGCGTTGGGCACTGCACATTTTGGCATGGGGTGGGTTCAAACTAAAAAAAAATCACAATTTTTTCTTCGGACTCTATTGTTGTGGCTGGAAATTTGTCCATGTCCATGGATCAGGCATCACAGCCAAACATTGTTAGCTATCAAAAAAACTATAAAAACTTAAATGTATATATTTCAACTTTTATGCTGCCATACATTAAAAAAAAACTTTGCAGAATTGTACGTTTTGATTTTCAAAACCTGTTAAGAAATCATATATTGATGAAAAGGGGCACTGCGAAGCCTGATAGATGTACATTTGTATTCTAACTTTATGGTGTTTAATATACCCAATTGAATAATTTAGGGAAATGCATTAAAATTAGAATTACAAAAAAAAGGGTAAAATTAACTAATAACCAATGATGTACAATCCGATTTCTGTCAAAATAAGAGCTTTCAACAATTAAAGGAATGTGACTTGTTTTAGTGTTTCACCAGCCCCTCTGTAGTTACAAACAACTCCAAAGTGTACAGTCCCTTTAAAGTTGAATTAGCTATGCATATTGAAGCAGACGTGTACAAGAGTCCACTTCCACGTGCAATCACCACACAGTGTCACACTATGCAGACTGGATGGGCAAGATTGGAATATTGAACACAAAAATGCTGGTCAGATTTTGGCATACGTAATTACAACGGATGTGTCAATTTTTGAACTAGGGGAAAAATAGACGCAAATTGTGCCGGTGGACCTCCACGTGGATCGACCTTCATTTTTGCAATGAGAATTTAGTCGTGTCTGCACACTGTTGCTACAATATGGTACAAGTTTACCGTGATGATCTCGACGTGATTACGTGTGTATGTGTTTCAAAGCCACTGTTAGTGTTACACACTTCGCCACAGTAAACATGGGCTTCACGTTGCTGGCAATATGATGGAGCTCTGAGAGGATTTGAGTTAATCAATATTTTGGTTGTGATTGTAGTTTGTTACTTATTGGAAAAATGGCAGATTTGGAGGTTGTTTCTACTTCAACTGTTGCCAAAAAAATGGTCGGTGAGTGCTCTGTATTTGTTGAAGTTGGTGTTGGATTTGGGAAAATACATTAAATTGATTAAACTTCATATTTTTAATTTTAGTTTAATAATGTGAAAAAAAGGAATTCAAAATACCAATATGATGTCTATGAAATACATCCGTTACACTTTTATCTGAGGAGTACCAGTCATGCTCTGGTAATTACTAACCAATACTAGAAGTGGGACACCAGCATATTTTTTTTCCTTTTTTTGTTTTTCTATGGTTAGGATGGCTTCAGTTTGATCGGTGTCATATTGGCCATCTGTCAGCTTTTTACCATCTAAGGGACCAAAATTAATTGCTGAAGATAATGTTGATCTGCATTGATCTGAACAGATATCCCAAATAAAAACCAGCGAATATTGTAAAGAGTTTTAACATGTTAGTGTTGGGCTTAAGTGGACTTTTATTGACCACAAAATTCAATGTGGTGGGCGGGTACACTGTACTGACAGATAAGTACAACTGCTCATGCACATTGCAATTTCCCTGCAAAAATGTCTATTTTTGAGAGTATTTGTAAAATTTTCACAAAATTTATTTTCACAGAATTTTAAATGCTTGACCTTTTCCAACTACTTCTCTGCTCTATTCAACATAAACCAAGGGAACAACAGTTTGTGTTTCTGTGTCACAATATTTACCCAGTTTTTCATATTGATAGATTCAATTTCAACAAGGTTGATGTGAAATATTTCAACATAATGACAACCGACTTCCAGTTTTTGTTTTATTATTGAAACATCTCCCCCCCCCCCAAAAAAATAACATGACTTCCAAAGACTTTTTTTTTTTTAGATCAAACAAATTTTGTATCTCTTGAAAAAAAGGAATATTTGTAAAACAACCAGATGTATTGAAAACAAAAACAAAGAGCTGGTCAAAAGAAGGTAAACATTTCATGCAACTTGCATTGAGTTTTCATGTTTGGACACATGTTCCTCAATAATTTTCCATCAGTTACTTCTTGTTGCGGTGGCAATAAATGTATCACAATGAAACCATTGCTGTTGGTTTAGAGATACAACACGTACCTTGTACATGTACAATGTATAATGTACCTGTGCATTGTACATGTACACGTGGTATTCATACAGGTACACTTGTGTACAGATTAAGTGCACTGGACCAATACATGTAGGGGCACATGTGCACTGTACATGGAGGTGTGTGGGTGTCTTCGTGTTTGCACAACACGTGGAATTAATATCGGGTGCTTGGACTAGGATATTGAATATGCCACTCACGTACATGACAGTCAGCTAAGATGTGAGGAATACATTGATGGTTTGCTTGTTAGTTCTGTAAGAAAACCGCATTTGAATGTCTAGCTTGAAAACTGGTGCATGACCTTTGTAAAATATTTGTAGACATGTACACTGTATACAATACAAAGTGAACAATATGGCGGTTTTGTTCAATATCAAGTGTGCGCAGAGAATAAAAGACAGGTGAAGTAAACAGTGAATCTACACAAACAAAGTTTATTGCAACTCACAAATATCTTAAATAATAGATTTCCTGTTTCTACATTAGTGTAACCTGTTTAAGCAACTTACGTGTACATTGCGAAATAATTTTTTTCTTTCACCACTTGGGTTGACATATAATGTGTTACATGGATTATGTTTTAAAGAATTATATTTAGAATGATAGAAATTTCTTGAAATGGGTTTTGGATAATTCAAAAATACAATATCAAGTGTATAAAGGTTCCTCAAACTTTTATTTCTAAGAGGACTTTCTGTTCTTGTGTTCATTGTAGTGGCTTCAAGATATTATTGTACCTGTAATGTATCCTCATGTATTTTTTATTTGTTTCTAATTCCTGCAGATAAGAAGCCCAAGTGGATCCCGCTTCCGTTGGACCCACCCGAACACCGGAGCAAAGGCCGGGACAGAGACCGAGACCGAGACAGGGACAGGGACAGAGAAGCCAGGCATGCACCAGCCCGCAGCAGCGGCGGCGGTAGGGATAAAGACAACAACAGCAGGGAGAATAACGCCACTGCTCCTCACCGGGACCGGCGGGAGACGAGAGAGAAGCGCGAAGGCAGGGAGTCGGTGGATTCACCGCGGCACGTCAAGGAGGCTGGCAGCAAAGGTGGGGTCTTGGTTTGTCTGGAACTGAGCCAGAGCTGTAGTCAAGTCCCAGAAAATCGCAAGTCAATCACAAGTCAAACATATGTCAGTTAGAAATCAATCACAGACAATCATAAGTCCATGAGAAGTCAATCAAAAGTTAAGTAGTAGTCAGTCACAGACAATTGCAAGTCATTAATGTTTTAGCTACTAGCCCAAGACAATCATAAATTAATCACAGACAATTGTAAGTCAATCAGAAGTCAGTCAGAAGTAGTTAGACGTCAATCACAGACAATTGCAAGTCAATCCGAACTCAAACACAAGTCAGTCAGAAGTCAAATCACAGACAATCGTAAGTCCATGAGAAGTCAATTAAAAGTCAAAAATCAAAAAGTAGCAGTCAGTCACGGACAATTGCAAGTCATTTATTTATTAGCTACTCACCCAAGACAATCATAAATTAATCACAGACAATCGTAAGTCAATCAGAATTCAATCAGTAGTTAATCAGAAGTCGATCACCGACAATTTAAGTCATCATTTGTTAGCTACTAGCCCTGTTTTCCCAGTGGATTTTTGTTACATGGCATTTGAACTCGGCAATCAATTCACATGAATTGTACCAAGATGCATTTCTTTGTCATTATGCAAATTTGTCCATCCTTCTCTTGTTTATATTACCATGTTTTTTTCTTCAAATCTTTGTTGACCCCCTCAGGTGCAAACTCAGCCTCCTGGCGAGAGGAGCGTAGCCAGAGCCCCGGGGCCTCCAGCAATGACAGTCGGAGCTGGTCTCGTGGGGCCTATCGGGGTCGCGGTAGGGGCAGAGGTCGTGGGAGGGGTCGTGGTGGCCGCGGCGGGGGCTACTTCCGGGCTGCCGAGCCTTGGACCAGCCCTGCGGTGGAAGCTGGTAAGCTGAGAGATGCCTTTACCTTGGTTGTTAAAACTGAAAATTGGCATTCTGACAGACATTGCTTCAAAAGCAGACTTCCATCAGATGTACACTTTTTTTGGTGTACATGTACATACGGCGCTGGGCAGTTTCGGGTTGTACAAGGAGTAAAATTTTGATTGGTTTATACTGTACATTTACTAATATCATGCCCTTGATTTCCTACTAATTTTGGAGGATTCATTCAAGTTCCTAGAGCAAGAACTGAATTTAAAGTAATTAAAATTTTGGTTTTTTTCCCACCTCAGTTGATGCAGTTACAGATGCAGCCTTCCTAACCCCCCAGCAGTACTTTGAGCCGGGGGAGTTTGATGCGCCGTTCATGACCTTCCCTCCCTACCTGTACGATGGCTCTTTGTACCCCGGGCCCATGCCGCTGGAGCCTGACCAGGCCACACTACGAGACTACGTCAAGAAACAAATGTGAGTCCCGTGTACAGTGATTTTTCAGCTCAGCGAATGCTGTATACTCCGAGAAAACAACATTCTAGGATACAATTTCAAATCAAAAGTTGCCGAGTCATGTTTTGAATTGGGCCTCAATTCAGCGTCCGAGACACATTCCCACTGACCTGGTTGCAGCTACGTGAGTATGGTTGGAAGAACTGGAAATAAAGTGTCACTGTGGATGGAAATCGGTTTGAGCTGCAGTAGTGCTTTGAAAAATAGCCACCACCAACACAAAATTTCAAAAATGTTTTGGAAGCCTGGGACGTGGGAGTGGGACTGGAGTTTTAAAGTAAGATTAGGCCTACTATAAAATAATAACTATAAACCACCGTTCGTTTTTTTTTGTGTGAATCGTTTTTTCTCTTTGCAAACATGCAAAAATAATAACATCTTTCACAGAAAAAGACATTATTGAATCAATCACATGTGGTTTATATTATTTAATGACTAGACATTTGCCCCTCATTTTCCCCGATAAAATTTGCAAGCATTACAGAAATTACAAAATGTACATGCCCTATATGCACATATGTGCATGTATATGTATACATGTACATCTATACAAGTACATGTACAATAATACATGTACATGTACAATAATACATGTACGTGTATACATTAGCTCGTGGATTTTTCGTTTTTGTCCAATCACACCCCTGATTATAGCAACCATGTGCGTCGTGGACATTTCAAACGATGCATCTTTAGATGCATCGTTGGAAAAAGCCTTCTTTAATTGATTTCTTCAAAGTGACAGCTTGCCAGAAAGAAGAATTTCACAGGGAGTTTAGTCCCATTACTATCTTTAAACCAAGTATGCTTTTTAACAATAATTACATCAGTTAACTTTTTGGATAGCTGCAAATGATGGATTGTAGCTTCAAAAAAAATTATTGCAGTACCTGCTCCTATATATCAGATTTGAGTGATTCATCAAGAGGAATAAATAGAAACTTGGCCAACATCCCACGAACAAATTAGCAAAATTTAAGTTTTATGTCTGTATTGTTTTCTTTCAGTGAATACTACTTCAGTGTGGAGAATCTCGTGAAGGATCTCTTCCTACGGAGAAAGGTGGGAAATACTTTTAAAATCAATCAATAGAACTATATCACTCATACAGTGAACAAAAGTACAAGGCATTGAATCAAAGCATTACCCTGAACGAATCCAATTCAAATCAACCAATGGAAACCTGGGTCTCATGTTCTGAGTTACACAACATTTTAAAGCCCTTCCCCATTGGTATACCTTGTTACAATCAGAATTAAATCGACCAATAGAAACCCAGCTTTCAAGAACTTGGTTGTAAAACTATAAAGCCCTTCCTCATTGGATGACCTCACTAGAATCGACCAATAGAAACCCTGCTTTCATTCATGTATTCTCCAATCCCTGCTTAGATGGACTCTGAGGGATACCTGCCCATAAGCCTTATTGCCAGCTTCCATCGAGTGCAGACGCTAACGTCAGACAGCATAATTATCATGGAGGTAAACTTACAGGAGTTCACTTGGACATTTACTTATTTCACAAAATTATTTTTAAATTTTTTTTGTTTTGAAATCCATGTTTGCGGTCAAAAAGTGGACAGCAGGAACATTTCCATCCGTTAATGATGATATAAATGAAATTTTCATAATTAGTCAAGAAAATTAATTGCTTTTTTTAACAAAAAAAATTATTTTCAAGTAATGTCAAAAATTATCTGGGAAAACTCTGCTAGTGTATTGGTTGGTAAATGTGATATGTGATGTGTTTCCATGACCCAAACAGGCTCTAGCGGACAGTGAGGAGGTTGAACTCTCGCCGGACCAGACCAAGATCCGACGACGTGACGACCCCAAGCAGTGGATCATCACGGGCCCCGCCATCCCCACAGCAGCCACCTCGGTGCTGTCCTACGACAGTCCAGAGTTTGTCCCCGGCAAGCCATACCCATATGTGTCACACGACACAGGTACGTGTGTGCATCCTGAATAACATTGTACAAATTGCAGATTCGATTACAGAAAATACATCATCTATTAATGCATTCCCAATGCCCATGTGCGCCACATTCCGCTGTTCACAACAAAAGGCCCATTAGGTCGCTCACCATAACTCCATGTCCCTCAGAATGGCAAAACACAGTTCGATACTCTCATTTTTTTGCTAGCTTAAAAATGTGCACAGCAGTACCACTGCTCCTCGAATGTAAAAATCGTATAGCAGGGAATTAAGTTAAAACAATCAATATATTTTTTTTTACCCTTGGGGGGGGGGGGGTAGCTGTTTTGATTTTTACTTAAGTTATTTGGGGAAGGATTCTTTTGTTTTGTTTTGTGGACACCCTTATAAATTTGAATTCTGACAAGGCAATGTTTCAAGAAGTCTTGTGGCCGATGATTATATCCATTGCTGTTCACATTCTGCAGTTGGTGCTTGCACCGTGTAGATGAATATTGTACAATGAGGCCACCAAGAGTTTCTTTTCAAAAGGAATTTCACTAAATGGAACTTCTTCTTGTAATAACTTCTTGAAGTTTCCCCCCTCCCCATGAATGTGTCACAGAGTCAGCACCCACATCCCCCACCCCTGCTCCCAGCAACAAGGAAGCAGAAGGCGCTCCGGTCAGCGACAGCGAGTCCAAACCGGTCCCGCTAGAGCGGAAAGACAGCAGCGGAGGGGTCAGCATGACCCCAGGGCTGTCCACCAGCCTGCCTGAGAAGGAGTCCAGCATCTGGACCGAGGTCCGCAGGAGACACCGCAGCCCCGCGGCACCCAAATCAAAGGTGGGTTGCAGGCTTGGCAGTTTTGTAATTTGGGTAAATTTTCTTGTACAAAAAAAAAGTGACAAGCGGTAAACAAGAAAAAACTGCTACTCTGTAGAGGTATGTGTATGTACAGTAAAAAACTACAGATTGAGCTGTGCATGGCCCTGTGCATATCTTAATTTCAACCTTGTCCCGTGTACAGTGATGCATATCTTAATTTCAACCTTGTCATGATTTTTGGATTCCAGAGTTTATGAATGTACCGTTACATTTAGTGAAGGCACCATTTGCTGAATGTTGTATGCTATCTTGTGTTGTATTTAGGGTTCTGCTGCTCAAGAGCAGGAGTCGGAACTCTTTGACGGACAGGAAGAACTGGACTTTCAGTTTGATGAGGAACTCACTAACATCACTGGCAGCGGAAGGAAAAACACCTTTTCCGAATGGTAGGATTTTCATAACAGATATTTACCTTCAACGACCAGTGTTTGTATAATATATATATTTCTATAGAGGTTTGCTTAAAGACATCAGCTAAAACTGTTGTGTTAACCAGTTAGCGCCGGATGACGTGTTTACACGCAATTATTTTGCGGTGTTCGGAACGGATGACGGATAAACACGCAACCAGCGAGGCCTGAAATATCTGTCAACGGCCCGCTCGCAGTGAGCGAGGCCGGAAATATCAGGGTGTGCTACCCGCAGATGATGGTCTGAACCCGTCTGGCATCGAGGTTTTGTGAAAAACGATCCCGCGCCTGGGTCCGGTCAATGTCAAAATAATCCCGGTGCGAAGTGGTTAAAATTTGGTCGTTTGAAGTTCTGTTTGTGGCTGCCCTGTCATTTTTGTTTGCCTCGAAAGTAAATACAAAATACAAGAATCAAGCATCCTGATTGGTTCCTCCCGCACAGGTCCGACGATTCAGACGACGAGCTGACAGACCATGAGGTCAGCAAGATCATCATCCTGACCCAGACCCCACCCTGCTACAAGAAGCACCCTGGCGGGGATCGAACCGGGTACCACGTCTCGCGGTCCAAGATCACCAACGACCTGGCGAAGATCATCAACGACGGACTGTATTACTATGAGATGGACTTGTGGAATGAAGACGACTTGATCAAGGTTAACAAGGGAGATACTTTCTGTTTAATGCACACATCATTGGCGAGATTTTGAAATTTTGTTCTGTGGGGGGTATTTCAAAAATGCGAAATGCTTGGAACACTAAACTGAAAACACAGCCTCTATCACAAAACACAAATTCAGGAAAGAAGGTTGCTTTTTTCTTCATTATCATCTCAATAAAGGTCGGTCATTGCGAAAATTTTGAAAAGACATGAATCTGGGACTGAGAAATACATTTCCAATTTTGTTAGGAAATACTTCGAAAATTCTTGACTCTCCATAGACTTGTACACAACCACTGAAGTGGCGTTCTTTCCCAAATTAATCACCTGTCGGAAGTCAGATCAAAAGTCTGTTCACTGTTCAATCACAAATCAATCGTAAGTCAAACCCAAGTGTGGTGTTGGGGAAATTTTATCTTGCATTCTTATGAAGATATTGCATTTCAGTTGCAAGTCATTTTTGAACACCAGTACGCACTTACGGCTGTTTCATCACACGGCGCCTAAACCTATTGAATTTGTGCATCTCTATGGTGTCAGTGAATGCCATTGCAGCTATTCATCCAGTGCAGGAAAAGGTTGATGCACAATCAGATGGGGAAAAATTGGTCATTGGTACTACACGGCTTGAGCACGTGAGCCAGTGTGTTCACTGTACGAATAAATGCTTTTATGATGCCATAACAATGAACTTTACCCACATTTCACATTTTTTTTACATTTGCAACTTCTCTCTCACCCTCACCAGAATGAATTCGTCTACAAGAAGATCAACACCATCAGTCAAGAAGACTTCTCGACCCTGGCCCCGACCAAGCTTTACGAGGAGCAGGAGGTGCCCCCGGCCCCACCCTTGGTCCAGCCCAAGGAGGAGGAAGGGGCGGCGGCCGGGGAAGGCAAGAAGGAGCCGGACGTCAGACCAAAGGAAACCCCAAGCAAGAGTATCCCCGCAATGAGCGTGAAGCCGGAGCGACAGATATCCCAGTCTCTCCCCACGGCTGTGCCCGAGGCCGCCCTCCAGCGCGGCCGGGAGGCCGTGCGACCCAAGGGCTCCCGCACCCCCCGCACCCCACGGGCCAAGGATGCCCAGATGTCACCAAGGTTCTACCCCGTCATCAAGGATCAAAAGCCCATTGATAACAAGGTACGCAGGCAGGCAATTTGTCCTCAGAGCAGCTGATTTTCTCATTTTGAACTCCCCGTGTGTACCAATTGAAATTGAAAAAAAAGTTGTAGAAAGTTGCTTGGAATTTCCACATTTTTGGGGGGTCCAAGCAAGAAAACTTTCGAGACAAATGGCTTTGTTTATTCTCCATATTAAGTTAAAGTACGATTTGAACCTTGCATTGCGGCATACCAGAGGTAGTTTTGTGAATGGAACTACGTGATTATTATCTCTTCCATGAAGTAGTATTCAATCTTAACAGATGGTGAAAGTGTTTCTTGAACATTTCGTCGTGTAGTACCCTACATCCCCCGTAAGGGTGAATGAAGAATACTGCCCAAAATGTCAAAAGACTAGACTTTTCATTCAATCTTATTCTGCAGACACCAAGGAAACGCAAGACCAAACACAGCGACAACCCGCCAGTAGAGAGCCACGTGGGCTGGGTCATGGACTCCAGGGAACATCCTAGCAGATCAAGGAATACATCCGTCGGGTAAGTTAAAAGTTGGCTTTGGGGATTGAAATTGTGACCTTTCTTGACGTGTGGCTTTAAGTGCTATTTTTGACTGTCTACAGAAAACATGCAATAATGCCTGGTTTGGACACAGATTTTTTTCTTGATTTCACAACAATGATTGCCCTATGATTGCCCTAACAGTGGAGATAACTGTTTAGATTGTGCTCTATTTTTATTTATTGAGCACTTGTGAATGAAAATGTAGCAGATTAATTCATGATGATTTACTCATTTTCAATTTTCTTTTTTATTTGGGACTAAACACAAGATGATTTTGTAATTTAAACTCAGAAAGATTGTTACACACAAAAGAGATTTATCCACCATTTGCTTTCACCGCATCATTTAAACTTTATTCCTACTCCTCTGAGAATTAAACAGTATATTTTTTTACGGCTTGTCTCACTTTCGATTTCAAGATAAGGCAAATTAGTGGAGAAGGCTTCTTTTCTGACCAAAATTTTGAAGGTCATCACGGCTCTATAGAACTGCCGATGAGTGGAATCCAGCTCATGCTCTGTATAGTTGACAGTATAGCTGTTTATTGCTTGAACCCTGCAGGTCCCCCTCTGAGAGTAGCCTAGTTGGCTCAAGCTACGGCACTCCACAGCCGATACCCAAGTTTGAGCATCCTTCCCACGAGCTCCTGAAAGACAACAATTTCACCCAGCACGGCTACCACAAGTACCATCAGAAATGCCTGAAAGGTAGGCTTTCATTTGCCTTTGTGGCCGAGTATAAATGGTCGAAATTCTTCTCAAACAAGCTCGAATGATCTCGAGAGCTGTGGGCCAATGAGTTTGTGTTCCAGTATATGCCCTGTGATTGTGCCATGTAATTTCACAATGCAAACTTTCACAATGACCTCGATAATGCAACTCTGTCCTTCCTCACTGGAGACCCATTAAAGTGACACAGGGCCTCAGGCAGGTGTTGGCCACGGTGATGAATAGTGCACAGATGTGCATTCCAATGTCTGTTGCGAACGAACAAACTAACTAACGGAGAGACAGGACGACTTGTAGAGCTCCTATCCACAGCGAACAAGATCCAAATTACTTCTTACCAAACGCAAACGGAGCAGATTGTTAAATTTTTGAGTTATCAGCTCTCAAAGCCTGACATGACTTGAACAAATATATGAAGATGGGCTACTGGAAAATCCTGTACTCGTATTTGAAAATACTTTGAAACTATTGTTTGTACACATGGTAATTACGGACCCACTACAGTTTCTATACTAATTGTAATGTTTCATTGTTGTTGCCTTTTTTTTGGTCAGATCGCAAGAAGCTGGGCATCGGCAAGTCCCAGGAGATGAACACCCTCTTCCGCTTCTGGTCCTTCTTCCTGCGCACCAACTTCAACCGCAAGATGTACCAGGAGTTCCGCCAGCTGGCCGTGGAGGACAGCAAGCACGGCTACCGCTACGGCGTGGAGTGCCTCTTCCGCTTCTACAGCTACGGGCTGGAGAAGAAATTCCGGCAGGACATCTTCAAGGACTTCATGCAGGAGACCAAGAACGACTACGGCTACGGTGAGCAAGTTGCAGAATGCCTAAGATCATACTCATTTAACTCTTTCAGTGCCAAACTCGTACATGTACGAGGTATATTTGTTAGTACAAAAGCGCCAACCTCGTACATGTACGAGGTAATGTTCGTACTTAAAATTGCCAAACCTCGTACATGTACGAGGTAGAGTAAATATGTTATCAAAAGAGGGCGCCCTCGCTCTTTCTAATGGTACCATTTTCATGCATGTACGACCTGTATTTATTTTTTCATTTGAGTTCTTGCGAGAGGGCGCAGCACTAAATCTCGTATTTTCTGCAAAAAGTGCGGAATTCCCCTGTGTTCAGGCCAGTGTTTCAGGGTGTATCACTATGTTTGTGACTACTTTTGACTTTCCAATATATTAAGGATATACTAGAGAGCAACAACAACAAGTTTAGGGGGTAAAACTTATTTACTTTTTTTTTTTACAGAATTTCGAACAATTAACAAAAACGCTCAAGGTTGGGCACTTTAGGGTTAAACTTTTCAAATTTCGCGGGCACTGAAAGAGTTAAAAGAAAGAAAATTTGAAATCGTTACATTTTATCTCTTCAGCATTTTGTCTTGTGAAACAAGAACAGGCTTGTTTACTTTCCATTGTGTATTTAGGTCTGTAGACCATCTGTTTACAAAACTGATTGTGTCAGCTGTGCTAAATTGTAATAACTTTTTTTTGGGGGGGGGGGGCTTTCCTGAATTGTCAGTTAGTGGATTTTTTTTGTTTTGATGTTTTTGAGTTATATTTCCTGCATTTTAGCTTACACATTTTCCAAATAATGTTGAATCCACCGACAAATTTTGATTTTTTTTTTGGTTAATACCCAGGTCAATTGTATGGTCTTGAAAAATTCTGGGCTTTCCTGAAGTACACTCGCAAGAAGAACCTAGAAGTTGACCCTGAGCTGAAGGAGACGCTGCAGAACTACAAGACACTAGAAGACTTCAGAGTACTGGTGAGTTTAGGCTTGAAGTTTGCAGGTTCAGATTTGGATGTTTTCTGATTACGTCCAGGAGCCGTGAATGGGTTTGGATTAGGCTAAAAAAAAATCCCTGTGAATTGTAATGAGGTAAAACCCCTGTGAAATCCACTAGTTGGAAATACAAGGTCAGCTAGACCCATTATTCCCTTCTCAACAATGATTAATTTCAGCCTTTTAAAGTTGTACCGGGGGTACAGTTTTCACAGACAAAGCAGATCAGACTTCTCGGTGATGGGCTGCATGCTGTTCTGAATAGAACTCAATAGGATGCCTTTCTTCCAAGAATTATCGGATCTTTGAATTTATGTTGGAGTCAGCCTATCTCCAAAATTATAATTAGGCTGCATAGAAAGTATTCAGTAATAAATGATATTCAGTGAGTTTTAAAAAAATTGTCCTTTTTTTTTTTACAGTAAATGTTTTAATTTAGAAGCTGTACTTTCTATGGTTTTGCTGGCCAGCGATTTGGCATCAAATGCATACCGTTACCCTAATAAGTTTCAGCCAAGAGTATATCACATTCTTGCCTGAACTAACGAAAAATGTTCTTGTCTGTCTTGTCCAGCCCCCGATTGGCGAGACTGAACCAAGCGAGGGCGCTGTCGGAGGTGCCGAAGCGGCCGAAGCCAGCTCCGCCACATCCAGCAAGAGACCAAAGCAACAGGACAAACAGTCGTCCTCGACTGCCAAAAACCCAACCCCTGAGGGCGCTACAGGAGGTCCAGAAGACTCGTGAGGTCAAAGGTCGGGGGTTGGGGTGGGGCGGGGCGGGGCAGCAGCGAGGGGCTGGGGGCAAAACGTTGGGGGAAACAACACGGGCTGAATCTTGAATCCGGGGTCTGAAAAATCTGGGTGGCAACCTGTGATGCAAGTAATGTGTTGCAGGATCAATTGTAACATTTTGAGGGGTGGTGTCCATGTCTTGAAGGCCTGCCTCTTGTATCCTGCGTCACATGTTGTGTGTCATGCTGACATGCCTTATGGAGGCAGGGCCCATGGGTCCAGGTTTGCAGCATGTACTTGTGAATGTCACATATGTTACCCTGTGGAATGCTGCAATCCATGTCGGGCATGACATTGCCTGTTATTAGAAGTCCGTTAAATTTCAGACGGCCTAACCCCCCTGCGTTCTCATGATGTGTCGTAACCATCATGGAAACATCGTAGGATCTCATGGCTGCTTGAAATCTGGGAGAAAAAAAACGGAAGATAAAATATCCCTCAGTTTCTGCTGGCCTTGCAGGAAGAGACAGACGTGACTGCATTTGAAATTCATTGAGTTCCCACTTTGGTGTGAATGTCACACGAAATTCCAGTCATGGGTGTTGCAAATTGTGGATTTGCAATTCTCTCAAGGAGCTACTGTGGCAATGTAATGGCCCTAGATGATGACATGCATGAGGATGGTTGAGAAATGGGAGAATTTAATTTTTTTCTTTCCCCGATTATAAAACGCAAAGACAGGAAGTGGGCACTTCGGGGATTTACACACAGCAATAGTTTGAATATTTTTCTGACATCGAATGGGTCATATTAAGTTGATTCAAAGGTTACTCCGAGGAACCAAAATTTGAAAATGTTGTAATACATCTTTTAAATCTAATTCAGATTATTACATTCAAATAATTTTGTTGAAAGCACAGTCATTAGTTTCCTGATTTAACGAGGTATTTCTTAGGACAAAGCAAATTTGGGGGGAAAAATTAGTGGTAAAGACCAATAAAAGAGAATATTTTGAGATACATGTTGCCAAAAAATTCTGATGAAACATTTGATTCCACTTCTTTTCCCTTGAAATAGAGAATGAAAAGTAAACGAAATTTTGGTCAATTATATTTGTGGTGATTGATGCACGTAAATTATCTTTGGTTTGTATATTGTTTTGTTTAGAGTGTATTCTTTATGAAAAGAATTTATGAAAGGTATTCATTTTTTTTTTTTTTACATTTTCCTTTTAAAAATATTGGCCATAAAAGACCCTGAAAAATCTAGCCTAGTCCTGATTTACATCAGGGTAAGAAAGTTGATCGCCATAAAATGGTTTTTAAATTTTAATTCTTTCAAGAACATTTTTCTTAGTCAGAATTTGCTAGTATGCAAATTTTCTAATATGCAAATTAGATGCTTTGAGAGACTTATATGCTGAGTATAGGTTTGTGATTGGTCACTTTAAGGACCGAGATGAAGTTGATTGGCCATTGTCTGGTTGCTTGGCGTTTTCATAAACAATGGCAAAGTTCCTGATTGGTGCACGGTGGAGATGAGATGGACTTGATTGGCCAATGTTAAGTGTCTTATACATGAATGGAGTGTCAGTAAATACTTGTCTGTGATTGGTTCTTTTGCATTGTACTGAAGGCAGGTGATTGGCTAATGCTTACGTGTGAGCACAGAATCCCGGACAGTGATTGGCTGGTTTAAAGACTGTCACAAACTGACAGAAGCTGCTAGATTTGGGGTCGTCAAAGTTGTCAAGTGGAGCTGTGAATGTTTGCAAGTCCAAAAAAATGGACGTGGAGTTCTCCTGTTCCTATTGAAATTTGTCCACAGTTTTCATTTAATTGCAAACCCTAAGCTGAATTTCCAGCTTTTCACTACCAATAATATTTTTCTTGAATTGAACTTTCTTCTCCCGGAAACACCAGCAACAAAACAACTGTTGTTGGAGATTGCAGATTGAAGTGCCCAGTATTTATGGATATTTATTCGCCTTCAGAGTATCTTCGTTGAGTTCTCATGTTGTTATCCTTGTGGATACACATGCGTGAGATGAGAAAAAGTGTGTCGTCAGAGCAACTTTCTCATCGTTAAAATGTTTTGGTACTGTTTTAAGTGCTGGACTTTCTTGAAAAAAACACCTTAATAACCAGATCTTTCTCTGCAAAGAAGATGTTTTCATTTGACGTATCTGCTGCTTAACAATGCTAGGCTCACTATAGATAAAAAAAATAGTAATGGCCTTGCATTCCCTGTTTTAGTTTGTCCAACAATTAAGTTTCTCACAATTTTTCCTTTTTTGGATTTTTTCCTGATTTCACGCCCTCGTTTTACTTTCTTATTTGTAAATATTTATAAATACCATTACCGCTGCACAAGAATTTATGCCGAAGGAAAACAATACAATTAGAAAATACTTACAATAAAATGCCTTAAACAGCAGTGCTTAATGTAGTAAGCGTTTATCTCTGCAGTCAGTTTACTTCATTGTTATATTGATATTGATCTACTTTTTTGGTTCATTTTCCCTTCTATTTCAGGTTTTTTTTTAAATTTCAAGGAGCAGTTTCCTACTTTTGGCCTGATTGTTTTAGTTGTCGATATCTTAAGTAGTTGTGCAAATTATGCAAATGAAGGTGTTTTTCTTTCTAATTCTGTAAATAATAGCAAGAGGAATAGCGCAGCCTTGTTACTTTTAATTCTCCTTTGGAAGACAAATTTTATTTTTGATGTAAATCAATATTTTCAAGTTGTTTTTTTTTCTTCTTCATTTGCGCATTTCGCGAATACTAATCATTTCAATGGTAGGGCTGGATTTTGGTCAAATAATTTTTTTGGCATTTGCTGATTGGTTTCGTTAAAAAGAATGTAAAAAAAAAGAGGGAAAAAAAGAGAAAAATACAAAAAAAAATAGCAAGAAAGAAGCAAAAATGGTGCTTTGTTTCTAAAAGTCTCATATTTCTAGGGCTGCGTGAACTTTTAGTTCACAAAAAAATGTTAATTTGCAAAGAGAATTAGTTAATTTTCACAGAATTTATCTATCAGTTTTTTGGAATATTTGCCTTAAACTGGTCCTAGCAAGACATTAATTTTCTGAAAAGAGCCTGGTTAGGAAGTTGAAGCCCATCCCTGCAATGTAGAATATTAAAAGTATTTCACCCAAAACCTCAAATTATTTCACCCAATTCAGTTTAACTTGATACAAAACACCAGGTAATAGCATTCCTGATATTGCTCAATTTCAGTTCGTTGATTTCTTAGAAGGTTGCCTAACATTGAGGCCTCTTTTATTATGTTTTGGTCTTGATAAAAAAAGTGTTAAAATGATAAAATATTTAAATTAAAGTAGACTGCTTTTATTATGTTAATCCCACTTGAAATCACAACTTTATGTAAAATTAAAAACCTTTTGCTTAAATTCCTGATTTATTGATTCTAAAGATTGCTTTGTTTTATGGAAGCCATATTTTTTTTTCTTAACCAAATGTGAAATGCATTGAAAGTCTCTTAAGGGATTTTTTGAGCATGATGCTTCGTATGTACAACCAAAAATTTGTATTGCCATGAAAATTGACAATGGCAAGTTTATGTTGCGATTCTTTAAAAATAGCAATGGGTGTGGCATTTGTGTCCAAAAGGGCGTACACCTTTTTGCATCTTTTGCCTTTCTGTTGTATAGGAAAGCAGAGAATACCATATTGATTACAATTTTCCACACTTAATATTCGTAGGTGTGGATGATAACACGTATGGCCTTATGGAAGTATCGACTTGCACAAAGTCGAAAAAGACTTGTAATTGTCGTTATCTCAGGGCTAAATGTTGTGTGTCCAGACTGGCTTTTAAAACGAATTCATAAATACCTGAGATAGTTTACCGATTCCTATTGGTCAAGAGCATGTCATGTGGTAGCCTTTAGTCTTTTTTGGTGCCCGCATCCGGGGCGCCGTGTGTCCGGGTAGCCACGCCTGCCTTGACTAAAGGCTAGTCTCGTGGGTGGTTTTAGACCACTGGTAAAACACCGCTGCATTCTGCGCCACATCGCACAGTACGTGCGCACACGCCAATTGCCATATAAGGAGATTTTAGCACTCACGGGCGCGAGGCACATACCAGAGGGTTGTTTCACAAAACATGAAGTAAAAGTGTTGCCCAAAATGGTTGGAAATTGGGATTTCTTTTTAGTTGTTTTGACTTTTTGACCGAAAGATATTTATGAATGGGAATAAATATGTGCTTGGTTGGTATTAAACAAGTACTTTTGAAACCAGCTAGGAGCCTGGTCGCGGATAATGACCCTTGCCTTTGGCTGGGGCCATTATCCGCATCAATGCACCTAGCCGGTTTTTAACGATGTAGATGATGCATTTAAATGTAGCGATGATCCCTGTGACTTTACTGAAACTTGATTTTTTTTTTTCTCCGTTGTGGGTAATTTTTGCCAAGTCGCACCAAACCAGTGCATGTGTTGTATGCACTATTTTCGCAGTTTATGCTGTGTGTTTTCAATTTTTAAAACCAGATTGGTTCGTCTTGATCTGATTTTGGTGTTATTGATCGAAAAAGGGTACATCATATTGGATATGATTATCTGAGAAAAGAAAGCTATGAAGTCTTGTATATATTATTATACAGCAGTAATACAGTAGTTATTAGTAGAAAAAAAATGTGTTCCTCTTATTTGGAAGTATTTAGAACGGTAGCATTTTCATTTCTTTTTTGGTGTTTTCTGCAGTGACATTTATCCTAAATATCTTTTAAAATTTTAGTAATATTAAAAAAAACAGGAGATTGTGTTGATAAGGAATTCTGCGATAAAAGATTGGATGGAAATTTTGCCCGTTTGGTTTTTTTCCTCTGTACAAATTTACCTGAACGATTTTAGTTCACCTGAAAAAAAAAAATATGGAGAATTTAACAATCCCAAGATTACTGTGTATGTCAATAATTCACTAGCAAGTATAATAAAACATTAATTTTGATGAATCGAGATTGTGGAGTGTAATTTTTTGCTTGTTCAGCTATCAACCGGATCTGCTAGTGAGTGAACAGTTCAAGGATAAATTAAAGGGAAAACAGATGGAAAATGACAATCTGAAAGTCAGAGTTTGCCAACAAATATACAATACACTTTACAGAAAATGAGTACAATCTAAACAATGAACAGTTTTATTTCATACGTTCTTTGGAATTGTAACTTTGAATATGTGCGTTTAAGCACCAACTAAGGTTAAATGGCATTCTGGAAGGTGTTTCGAACACACAATCATTGGAAATCACTTGTCTTTCACAACATCAGGAGGATTTGAACTTTTTTAATGAGTTTGTAATAACTCCGATAGCCGTATCAAAAACTAACTGTAAGCTTTGAAAACTGGCACAACCATACCAAAACACAATGTTGGCTGTAAAAAAAAAGATACTGGCTTGGACAACTACCCACAAGTTTGTGAACTCATAAGTATTTACATGTATATAAAAATTAGCATGAAGCCTCACTTGTTTAGACAAGTCCCCCCCCCCCCCAGTGTGAACTGAAACCCCCCACCCCCACCCCAAGCCCATTTCCCCACCCAAAAGAAGCAGTGATACCAACATTGAAGCCTTTTTAATAATACAACTTTGAACTAAATATTACGTCACTTTTTGTTGCCTACATTTTTACCAATTCCTTTGACCAGAATACTGCCAACAAAGACTTAGTTTCAGAAGCACAACACTTCAAAAATCCACGCTAAAAAACACACGGGCAAGTTTTGTGTCGAGAGCTCTAACGCACAATCCTTTCATCCCTTGTACAAGTTCTCTTCCAAAGTTGATAACAAGTCCGTTGTGCACTCCGCACCGTCTGCACTGCTACCTGTGCTTAAACGCCACAGCCGATTTAATCTTTGGCTTCCTGATTTTCACTTCGTCCCTGTTCCCGTAGGCGCGGTATTCATCATCGATGTGAGGCCTTGGATACCGACTGGTCACGACGGCCGACTTGAGCCTTGTCCGCCCGCTCAGCTTCTGCCTGAGATCCTCGCGCCTTTTTTCTTCCTCCAGTTCCTCTCGGGTCTTGAGGTTTTCCGTCAGCTTGCGTTTGAGCCGCAGTTCGCGCCGTCGCAGCTCGCGCTTCTTGCGTGCTTCTTCTTTGGCCCGGGACTGCTCCTCCCTTTCCTTCTTGAGCTGTTCTTCTTCCAACTGCCGGAGTCGTTCCTGTTCCAGTTCTTCAAGCCGGCGTTGGACTTCTTCATGTTGTTTTACTACCTGTAGGGTTTTTTGGGGGGTGGGAGATTATAAAAAAGATAATGAGTTCGATCTTGGGAGGGGATGGGAAATTCGCTTGTTGAAAATGAAAATGAAGGTGACATGGTGAGAGATAGAAAAGCCATGTTTAAATTTTCCTGTTCCTTGAAGGAAATTAATTAATTCCTTTTTGAAGCATTTAGATAAATCGAAACAATGGTCTCAAATTGAATTCTGTATGCTCACACATGTAGTGAAAAAATGGCTGAACCATTACAAAAAATAAAATATAAAATCCTCAAACTTTTTTTTTAACCTCGACCAATTCTGTGAAATGTCATCGTTCACATGACATACTGTATCTTTTTCTTATACACACACTGCAAGTTGTCTCCAAAATCTTAGATAAATCTGGTTTCTGATGAAGATAATTAATGAACCGTGTTTGAAATTCCAAGTTATCGGTTAATTTCAGACTTTCAAGTACACAATCTTATTCAAATATCAATAAAGTTATTGGACTAAACTGAGTAATCTTATCTTGAACCCTTGGACCAGATAAGTTCAACATGACTGCCTCTGGGGAAAGATGCATGAAATTTAATCTAACTTTCTCTTTTCCACCGTACCTTGACCCGTTCAAAGAGTTCCGTCAGCAGCCGGATGGACTCCAGTTGCCGCAGCGCAATCAGCAGCTTGCGTTCCTCCAGCGCTATCCGACGCTGCAGCTCCTGCTCCTGCCGCTGCCGTTTCTTCTCCTCCCGCAGCCGGCGTCGTTTCTCCTCTCGCTGCTGTCGCCGCTCCTCCCGGCGCGTCAGCTTGGCCTGCTTGCGCTGGGTCTTGTACAGCTCCTCTTGCTCCTTCCTCCTCCTGTATTGACAGAGAGACAATTGTGTTTCTTCAACTGAATTGGGTGTGGAGATGAACTTTTTGAACTGAATGGCAACACATGGCAACCAAGAAAACTGGCCTGTGAATGACTAGATGCTTCCAAACACCAATGAAATGTTTACATGTACATTCCATGCCACACAGTGTTTTACATAACTCCTGAGGACAAGCCATTGTCTTTTCCTCTGTCCCTGTAATATGACACTCTTCCATAGACTAAGCACATAAATGCACGATTAAGGCCCATTTTTAACAAAAGATGAACGATCGATGTCAACAAAGAATCTGTTGTTTCTCCCTTTGTCTGATGGTCCTCCAGGTGTATTCAGTGAACGCCCAAACACACATAAACCAGTGTTTACTTGCACCAAAGCTTTTACCAGTGGCTCTCGTAAGTAGGCCACACAGTACAATCTAGTGTTCAAGCAATTCATCTCTTAATTGATTTGATTAGATTTGACATGATTTCTTTTGAAAGATTATATCACCCTCACCTTTCTTCCTCCTTTTTTCTCTCTTCTTCTTCCCGTTCCAATCTCTTCTGCTCTTCCCGTTGCTTCTCAAGTTCGATCAGTCGTTGGCGTTCCTTCTCCCGCTTCCGGATGCTTTTGGCGCTGAGGTGGCGCGTCTTGTCAAAGTCCACCTGTCGAAAGTTATTGAGGCAAAAAATTTTTCTAAGTTAAGTAATACTTTTTTTCTCTTTAAGCTGTTGTTTGGTCCATGCACGTACGTGTATTACTGTGACTAAAAGTTAATGTTGTCACATTAGATACGATGGCTAGACAAAAGCCCATAACGGTTTTACTTTTGGCCATTAAAGGACGGTCTACTTATAAATGTATAAGTACCTTGATGTCAGCTGTGTATGCTTTGCCTTCTTTGCCTTCTTCATCTGCACTTGTCTCTTTCTTCAAGAGTTTCATTCCCTTCAAAGCATCCATTGCCTTGACGAATCCGATATACTCTGTGTACTGTATGTACGCCTCAAATATCAACGTGTTGAAGGAGGAAAATGTCCGAAAGTTTCCTCCGATGACCTGCGACTCATGCCGGTATGGATCCAGCATCGGGATGTCCACATTACGGATCTCCCCGAGCAGTTCAAAGATCTTCTTGACGATAAGCTCGCTGGGCTTGTCAGGCTCAGCCGTGGAGGAGAACCACTTGCAGGGCAGGTTCTCGACCTTGATCGTGTCTGGCCGCTCCCCGGGGTTACTCTCGTTCATGTTTTTGGCGTCGCGGAAGAAGGAGTCCCAGTCATGCCGGTTCGGGAAGTTGATCTTGGCCTCGGCTGCCCGGACTTTGAGAGCCTCGGGGAACCCACTGAGTTTGATGACTTTGCCGTCAAGTCTCAAGATGAGGACCTTGATGAGGCTCTTGGCTTCCACTTCTGCCTCAAAGCGGAGGAACTCCAAGGAGCTCTTACTGACCCTAAGCACCAGGAAGGAGTCTGGCTTGGCCATTCGTTTCAGCTTCTCCATGACCTCCCAGTTGCTGATGGACTTGCCTTCCATTTTCATCTGGGGTAGCGTGACGGAGATGTTGAGCTTTGCAATGGGCTTGAGGTACAGGCCATGCGGGCCATGAAGCTCAATGGCCTCCGACTGGTTGAAACACAGTTGGGTTGTCATGGCTGCATCGATGTCACCGAATCAAACTTCAAAGTTCAGTTTTTGTTGGCGCTGTTAGAGTGAGAAAGGATAAAATGAGAAAAATCTGAAATTAAGTTTATTTAATGCACTAAACATGCTAAAGGAAAGCAAGTCATTAATGCCGCAGTCGTCATTTGAGTATATGTAACCTCATTAACGCAAATCTGCAGTAGGCCTTATCTAATTACATGTAGACTTTAAACAATGACTCAGAACATTAGTAACAAAATTGACAAAATTAGATGATGATCAGCAAGTCACGTCAGTGGTCAGCCGTCTCACTGTGTAAGATTTATGACTGTAGTACTAAAAGCTGAACAATCACTGCGGAATCACAAGAACTGTAAACGCAATTTATTTCTCTCTTAGTATTTCTAAGAAAATTCCCAACATTTAGTATTAAATATCAACATTTACTCACTTGGCTTTCATCAGAAAACGTTTCCCCTCGCTTCTTTCATCATGTTCATCTTCCCTAGCCCTACAAAAACAACAAGGTTAAGTTAAAGAGCGCCCTCAATTGATGATCGCACTATTTACAAAATCTTGGCTTCAACTCCAGCTTCGGCTGCAAGTTAATTTGTGCGCTAAAACTAAAGTCTTCAGAATAAAACGGGAAATGTGAGTACTGTTCATTACGATACTAGGGGATCTCAGACAGAAAAATGTAACCCCTTTCCTGTGATGTAAGTGAAAGTTTGTTAGATCGATAATAATAAACGGTGGTCTCTGATTTGCGCGGTTGCTTGCTAGCTAGCTGGCCTACCACGTGCGCGCGTGCAATTTGTCGGCGCTGCGCGCTGAGTATGCGCACACGCTTTTTTAGCTGAATGATAGAAAATGGCGCTCGTTTTCGAAAACTCTTCGTGACCACCAAATGTCCCATTTTGCCTGAAGCAGCTTGTAATACCCTGAATGGAATGACGTTTCTGAATCTTTAAAGTGCCGTGCACATTTACTAGGTAACTTTGAATCCTTAGCTTGCGTTTATTGAATACATTTTCGTTATTTAAAGTTGTGTACATTTTTTTTTATTTGCTAAAAATTGTTGACGTTCGTCTGCATCATTTGTGCATGGTCCCAAACCAAGGCGTACACGTGTGGTGCCCACAGAAAGTTATCTGGCTTGACAACTTTGGTTTGACGTTTTGGAAAGAATATAATATCCAGACGCCATTTTTTTTTAAGTCTGTGGATGGTTGAGTGCATTTCTTAAGTATTTTCTAACGAAATTAGAAAATGTTTTTCAGTCCCAGATTCATGACTTTTCAAATTTTTTGCAATGACATTGACAGACCATGGAGAAATGGACAGACCTTCAATTTATTGAGTTAAAAGGCCTATATGATGAAAGAAAAGTGGCGTCAGGATGCAACATTCTTTCCTAAAAGTATTTGAAAAATGTGTAGGTTTTTTTAAAAGGTTTTTCCATTGTACGGTCCAACGTTGTATTGGGCTGAGAGGAAATTTGGCAGGACAGTCACAGGACATTGTGTTTATGTACTCATCTGTAATATTTTGGTGTCACCTTTATATGCAACATTGTGATATTGATGTGTTGATATTAATTTCATGACATTGATAAAATCATGGGCTTTTACTTTTTACTTTCAGATTAGAAACCTAACATATGAGAGGAGAGAGGAGTAGTAAGCGGGACTTCTTGACCTTGAAGACAAAAACAGTCAAACACCGAGTTATTGTTACTTGCGTTCCAGACAGGTAGGTCAATACACACTTGTAATCCTTTCCATTCAATCCGGTTAAGACCTTGGTGATTTGTTGTTCATGTGTTTTGCAGCAATGTATCCCTCCTCCCCCCCCCCCCCACAAAAAACCCCACTGAACAACCCCCTGCCCCGCCCCCAATAACCCCTCGGATTAAAAGTATGATGTCTCTGGGTACACAACAATATACCCTCACTTGCCAAGCTAAAATATGGAGTGTTTGATGTAAAATTCTCATTTGTACACTTTCTATTTTCTGTACACTATTTTCTGCAGGACATTTTTCTTCCTCTTTCGCCCCCACCCATTTTGTTGTTGTTGCTAATTCAAAACAATTTGCAGTTATTTCTGAACAGAATCTGAATATTAACATCTAGACCAGAATACACATCCAGTATTGCAGTATTGCATTGCAGAACTTGTCAATTACAAGATTGTTTTTCTTTTTGTTAATCATAATGCACCACAACAGAAAATCGCGTGAACGTTAATCCTCCTTTACGTACTTGAAACCGTTCAGGTACACATTTAGCTTTGTGGTTGAATGGAGGATTGAAAAATTTCTGGATTGAAAGTCAGGTTGCATCAATTTTGTAATTTTAGTTAATTTTAATTAAAAAGTCATCATACAAGTACATGGACATTCCGGTACAACCATCATACTAAATGTTATTTAATGTATGCTGGGTTATTAAGTTGCCTTCATTGCCGCCTAATAATATACTGAGTAATTGTACTTTGGCAAGAGACTATTTGTATTTGAAACATGATTGGGGTTCAATATTTGTCCCATCTTTTATGTAGTCTTGGCTAATTGTTTTCTGATTTCTATATTATTTTCTTGATGAAATCATGTTATATCTTGCACATTTATTGCAAATTCTGGATTGTCATGTGAGAAATTCTACTTTCACAGTTTCAAATGTGTGACTATTGGAGATTTATTAGGGATGTTGAGTCATTCTATAAATTGGGGTCCGCTTTTTTTTCCTGTCCCTATTACATTTGGACATGTATGATTTTATAATTTGGATGCACTCCTTAATGCAGTCATCCTCCAAGGTCAATTGCAAACTACAGGTAGTACCTACCCAACAAATAAAAAATAGTTTGAAGTCATTCTTAGTGGTACTTGAATGGTATATTACAAACTACCTACCAAGGTAACAGGGACAGAAAAAATGTCACAGCTTAGACCCTAAATTTATAGAATGACCCACATTCGTTTTTAATGTTTTATTTCTTTGGAATTTCAGTATGGTTGATGGTAAGGCCAAGAAAGCAAAAACAAATCTGTGTTTACGGTAACCGGATGTACCTTGATTTTTTTAGGCCAAATTGCAAACCTCAAACTTTTTATTGTCACATTTGGCACATTTGCAAGTGTTTGTTGTTGTTATCGGTTAATTAAACAGTTAAAAATAAAGCTGTTAAAGGTATCCTAAAGTAAGCAAAGCAAGTCTACAAGACCAACAGACACAAAAAAAAGTTACAAAATAAAATGATTTTCCTACCTACCTGCCTCAGATACAATTTTTAGGGCGTTACTGTAAACACAATTTGTTTTTCCGTTTTTGGTCATTAATTTACCATGATTTTATTTAATTTTTACCCGCACGAAATAAATAAGCCATTTGCGAGTGACCTACATGTATACCCTTTTGGATTAAAATTTCAAAAACGTCTGGTACACTTACTTGCTCAGAATGCTTGGCACATTTGAACTTTGAATTCTCTAGACCAAAGACACTGTTGCTAATCACATGATTCGTGGCAAGCTCTTGCATAGTTACGTAAGAGACGCTCAGCATTAATACATTGTTCACAATGGGTGAGAATGGCACAAAGATATCAGATTATGCCGGAGCTGGGGGTTGCTAGCATAAGGCTTGCCCCGAATCACGTGATATAGTAACAGTCTCTTTGGTTGGGAGAATGCTATGCCTTAAATGTGCAAAGCATTGGATTAAATCAGCGTTCCAGATTGAATTCAAATTTAATTTGCAAATGGCTTATTGGGGGCTTTTTTAGTATTCATTTGTAAATGAAATTCAGTGCACTTGTCAAATTTTGATGGAGTTTTACTGGTACCGGTAGATGCAGATGCTTTCGCACTCTTTGAGTGTTTTCCACTTCGCATACTGGTTCACGTTCATGTGAGTCTCCAAACATCAGGACCACCATTGCATCAAATTATGTTCACAGATGAGCATCTAGTCCTTTTGAGAACCTTTGACGATGTTGATGATGATGTGAGAAGCTGGATTACTCTAGTGGCTGACAGTGATCTGTTGCTGTCTTCAAATAAAAAAAAGCAGTGCCATCATGTTTGGTTGAAACGAGATGTCTACGTCTGATCACAATGCAAAAGGAGACTGGGAGGCAAGAGTGCTTGTGAATCAATATCCACTCTGTGGGGAAACAGCACTGTCTCTTATCTAGGCTCCTCTTGTATGTGACCAAACTCCTGTCTATGATGATGTCTCTCACTCAGTCATAAAGAAGCAATTACTCTTCATCTGACTAGCAGAAACGCAGAGATGTGTATGATGTTGTTAGATTGTTGAACTGCAGTTGGCTGCCCTGTTAACAGAATGTTTATGTAATTGGCTGGAATGGCACTCTGGACTCTTAACCAGTTCACGCCTGGAATATTTTGACAAGAACGGAACGAGGTGCAGGATTACTTTTCACTCGACTTCAATGCCAGGGGCGTTGAAGCCATCACCCTCGGGCAGCACACTCATTTTTCCAGCCTTGCTCACTGCAAGCGGGTCGCTGACAGATATTTTCGGCCTCGCTCCGGTCCCTGCATGTTTTCCGTCATCCATTCCAAATACCGAAAAACCTTTGCGTGTATGCCACGTCATCCGGCGTGACCTGGTTAAGATGCAAAACATCTCAGTAAATCTTGTGAGAAAGCTGTCGCACCTCAGCTGCATGTTGAGCTCTCCTGGAAGACTTTGCTAGATAAACTCCAGTTTGAGGTGTGACAAGTTCAGTTCCACGCTCGTGGCAGTTAAAAGCAGTCTCATAAAGTGTCCTTTTAAATGTAGGATTCATTGTATCAAAACAAGCGTTGGTTGTATTTGTAATTTCAAATAAGACATGATTGAAAATATTACTGTAAAGCATTCATTGAGGTTTCTAATCTACATGTCAAAATTATAGAAAAATGGAGATTGTTGCTTGCATTTGTTTGAAATTGCAAAGGGAAGATGACTGGGCCGGGATGGAATGGGTGTGTGTGTGTTGGGGGGGGGGGGGAGTTTAGTCCAACAAGATAAGGACATATTTGTCCTTGGAGGATGACCGCTCTCACTGGCATCAGTGTGAAAGGCCTTGTGGGGGGGGGGGGGGGGGGGTCGATCGGTGTAGGCACTGCACATGTGAATTATGTACCTTCCCGTTGCAGTTCAAATGGATCTAGTTTAGCCAAACTTCAGTTACTAATTCTTTTTTTCCCCCCATGAAACTGTCCTCAATCCTCCAAAATCTTCCACTAGGCAAGAGCCCAGTGGCACTTTTTTTCACATTCAAGGGACAAGTAGGCATATAGTGCTGAGGTCTACCTTCCTCATCCCAAACATTACTGGTGGATTTTGAATGGTCTTGGAGGAAGAGTTGTAGCCTACTTGAGTCAAGACATATCAATCACAAGACAATCACAAGTCATGCAGTATGAAGTCAAGTCACAAACTATTCACACCAACTGTGACAAAGGAGGCAGTCCTTTGTCATTGTTCATGCCTGGTTCTTTTGTACTGACTTAAGATTTGTTTGAATTGCTATTGTCTTTGAC